AGTATTATAAATCTGGGTATTATTACTCTTATAATTTAAAATCTAGTATTAATATTTATTTTTAAAAAGCTTAAGGCTATTATTATCTTACATTATTAGCATTATATAGTATTTTTCTTTAAGATAATTCTTAAAATAGATTACTATATATCTTCTGCTATTTAGAAGTTAGGTTTTTACTATTTATAGCTATTTAAGGTGTTAGAGGTTATGTAGCAGTAGAAGAATAGGATAAATTATAGATAAGGAATATTCTTATAAAGAATATATAGATAAGGGATAAGATAAGAGATAAGGGATAATAGTGTAAAATAGTGTATAATAGTATATAATAGTGTATTTTGTACTGATAATAATGATATATAAAAGTTCAGAATTTACCAGAGGGTCTCTAGCTTTTTATAGACAATTTCTCAAAATCTAGGTATTGTAGCTAGACAATAAGTATACTATTAAAAAGCCCAAAAAAGCGGCTTTTTAGTGGTACTATTATTGTCATCTAATGTTTAGAGGATTCTGAGTAATTCTGCTTTGAAATCAAGTCTCTGCTTTGAAATCAAAGGTGGTTTGATTTGAAATCATCAAAGATATAGAGACATATTGTATACCATAAAAAAGCCTAAAAAAGCAGCCTTTTTCTAGTATAATCTTTGTACTTAAAATGCTTATACTTTCCGAAGTATCTGGATTATAAGTTAAAATGATTTGGAATTAAAAATGATTCCAAATATAAGTGGGGCTAATATCTTTTCTATACAGTATAAATAGTATAATTAATACTGTATTTATACTGTATTTTAGTGCTATTTATACAGTATAAATAGTGCTATTAATACTGTATTATATTTATTTATAGAATTAATTAAGATTTAATTCTTAAGGTTAAAGATATATATTTATATATTTATTTAGTCTTTAACATAAGGTAAGCTAGTCTTATAATATTTATAATATTATATATTATAAATAATTTATTTAGCTTAATAAATTTATTTAAAGTTATTAACCTACTTATAGTTAAATTACTTCTAGTAATATACTAAATAAAATACCAGGCCTATATAGTAAATAAGTATTTTACTTAATAGCTAGTAATACTAATTATATTTCTTCTAATTTAAATTAATATTAATTCTAAAGTATTTAAAATTAGGAAAATATTTAGCTATAATCTTATAGCTTTTAAGCTTATTAAAAAGAAATTTAAAATCTTAGATAATATTCTAAATATTATTATATAATTCTATCTATTTATACTTCTACTTATAAATTTAACTATTACTTTTAAGTATCTTAACTATATATTTAAAATAGCCTAGAAGTTATATAAATATCCTAAGAATATCCTAATTCTTATTAGATAATTAATAGCCTGGCTTGTAAATATATAGTAATTTAGCAGACTTCTTTATAATTCTTCTTTTAGTTTTATACTATTATTTAAACTCTATCTGATATTATATAATAAGCAGTTTAATATAATTATATAGCTAAAGTATATATTAAATTATATATAATTACAAAAGCTATTAAGTATTATTATTTAAAATAACATCTAAAGGCTTCTTAATTTTAACTTTAAGGTTAGGTAACTGGTTAAAAACAGTCTACTAGAACTCTTAAAATAAATATATTAGCTTATTAGATCTGTAAATAAATACTATAATAATATATAATTTACCTATTAAGCTTCTTTTCTACTAAAGTAAATATTTAGCTTCTGATAAAAGTGCCTATCTAAATAGCTGCTGTTTAAATATATCAGCTTTATAGCCGAATAGTATACTTTTAGCTGAGAAGTTTAGAGTGTAGCTAAAATAGCACTCTTACCTAGTCTTACTAATAAAGCCCAGCTCTCCTCTAATTATCTCTATAGCAGTATTACTATTTTCCGCGTTATCTAATATAAAATATCCAATTTTATTTTAAATCTTATAAGCTTTAATAATATCAAGGATTTCAGCTGTAATATTAGTATCTATATAGCTAATACTAAGCTTGGGGATAATAATAATTGTAATATTATATAGCTTGTTATTTTTATCCCTAAAAAAATAATATACTCTATATAAAATATACTAATTTCAAACCTCCAGCTATTAAATAAAATATAGATAAAGCTAGGTATCTTATAAAGTATCTTAATAACCTTCTACTTATATTATTTAAATACTAAAGTAATTTTTTTCTTAATTATTATATAGATAATATTAATATTATAAATTAAAACTGTTAAAGTCCAATAAATATATAAATCTATAATTATATAACTTCTAATAATTAAAATACAAGCTTAAATATAAGCTTAAATATTCTAGGAAAAATCTTATAATATAATACTAAAATACAGTACTAATAACACTATTTATACCGTATGACTAATTTATCCGAATCGGCTTATTAATCTATCCGAGCTTAGAAATTAAGTGTTTTAATTTATAAGCATAAGCTTTCAATTCCTCCGTGATTTGAAATCAAGATTACTCGGCTATTAGGGAACATAGGAAGACATATCTAATACCATCTTAAAGCTGAATTTCTAGGCTTTCTAATGGTATTATTTTTATCCTAATACCTATATATTTGCCGGCTAAATTTGTCTATAAAAGAAGGGCTTCTCTTAGGGAATATTTCTTCTCTTTTTATCTATATACACTATTAATATATACTATATTATACTATCTTATATACTATTATCCCTTATCCTTATCTTATCTCTTATCTCTATATCCTTTATAAGGATATCCCTTTATCTATAATTAATTCTATTCTTCCACTGTCTTATAACCTCTAACAAAAACTAATAGATTTAAATAGTAGAATATTTCTTATAGCTTATTTTCTTCTATAATAAAAAAAGATTAGTTTCTTATTACAATCCAGTTTATTAAAAGCTATTAAAAGTAATTACAGTTAAAATACTTAATAAAAGTATTAGTAATTACTTATTCTTATAGATTTTATAAGTTAAGCTATATAACCTCTATAATAAACTTCTGCCTCTTTACTTTAATACTTATAGAATCAGCTTTCTTCTCTACAGTTTCTTTTATCTTATTTAATAAAGTGCAAATTCTATATTCGGTAAATAGGTAATTATATGCATTTTAAATACTATCAAGGCTAAAGTTGCCTGAATAGGAGTCCTTCTATAAGCTGGAGTAGATATAATAAATATTTGTTAGGTATTTATATATATAGCAGAGCTAGAAGAGTAAGATAGCAGTTTATTTATTTTAATAAGTTATAGTATAATTTAATAATTAATTAATTGATTAATTTATTAATTAATTCATTTCCATCCTGAGGGCAAGGTATATAAGCCCACTAGACCTCCTCATAGAGTAGAAGGACGTGCTAGGCTAGCTTAATATAATTTCCACTTACAGCTTCCACCATCCTTAGCCATCTAGCAATTTAGCGGCTTAAGGCCTGTGATAGTTCGAGCCCGACCCCCGTCAGTAGGGGCTAGGGGCGGCGGCATCCCTCTGCCCTGGCTGTACCATATACCCGCAACAGTACTGCAATTCGGATAAAACCAGCCGGAATTCTCCTGTATCCGCATACCAGCCAGAGACCGAGAAGAATCTTCTTTTATCTCGAAGGGTTAGTCGTCTGGCCTTCCAATCCCCCAGTAACCAAGAAGTCATACACGTAGATCGCAACAGCGGGAAAAACCACGAGGGGAGAAAAACTGCTATAGCTGGCTGCCATTGATTAGGTTATATCTCACGAGTCCTGATACCCTTGATAACTTGGTTCTGAAGCCATCTTAGGCCCAGTACGAGCAACACAAGGTGAGGCCAACTCTCTTAATTCCTCAGATTGTATGCCTGTTAGTGCCCAGATAGGCGCTAAAGGCTGTTGCAAGTAAAAGTGGCCTGTGCAAACCCCGCATCTTAGCAACGTACTAATAGTAGCTGCCAAGAAAAGATTTTTACAGGAGAGAGTTAATGGTGTAACTTAATATGTATGTGAAGGGCTGGACAGGAGTTTATTCAACAGGCTGTTGCCGTAGAATTGTCTATCTAAAGCTAAGAAGAAGAAGGAAGGAAAGAAAGAAGAAAGCTGCTTCCTTACCGCTAATATACTGCGTGGTTGCCCAGGTGATGTCAATTCGTGGGTTCCGGCACAGCCAGAACCCCAAGCCAGGCCCCAGCCTGTGACAAAATTACACGTATTAAGGTGTCCGCGATTTTTGGTGCTGTCCGCGATTTTTGTGCCCAACTAAGTGGCCGAGGCACGAGGTCCTTAGTTGGTTGTGGGTCCCCCCTACCTTAGCCAACGGGTAATAATACACTATGGAGCTAGTGGTCCGGTAGACTAGTGTCACTCCGTGCACGGACTTAAAAACGGTCAATTTACTGAGATTGTACGGAGGTACTCCGTATGGTATTGCCAATCAATCCAATCCAATCCAAATTTTGGGGCACATGAAATCCAATCCAACCATGTTCTGTCCACTCTAGTCCAATCCAAATTGCCTCCAATCCAATAAGATCACTGATTACTTTCTGTTGGATCCGTTACGATCAATTTGATCAAATGGATAGTGTTCAAAGCAGTGATGATGTTGATGATTGCTTGGGCCGCGTTGGGCTCGGCCGGTCAGAGGGGGGTTTTTGACACCCCCTCTGACTAAGGTCATGATATCGATCTATCAGAGGTTTCGTAATACAGGGTCATCTTCCAACACTTTCCATATTCATTATATAAATTAGCTTGTTGGCGGTTTATTTATTTAGATTTAATTTATAAGCAGCGCTAATACCAGGAATCATTATCATCATACGAACACCCATTCAGCCCAGGTCTCTAGAATAGCTATTAAATAGTACTACTGCTATAGGAGTGGGAGTTGGCTTGCTCGCGGAGTTCGGCTGGCCAGGCTGTCTTTTGGGGCCAAGAGATTGTTATAGTCTCTGAGTTATACTGGGCGATGCGCGGGATGCTGGGCTGGCCCCAAATACGAGTTTCTGCTTCACAGCATCTTTTCCCTTTCAGCTATAGAAATCGCTCTGTGCGGCAATGCTGTCGTAGAGCATGATCCCATTTGCTGAATTGTATTGTGTCTCTAGGGCTCTCCTCTGCGCCCTGTAATACACCACATGCTCCTGGATCTCCAAAACCCTAGGCGCCAGACCAACATGCTCTGTGTTGTTAAAATCCAACCCGAATATAACCTCCGAACTTGCAGATAGAGCATTTATCTTACTGTCTCTAAGGATACAGCCACCACGCAACTCTTGATCCCACCAGACGCCCCGCATAGCATTGGCGACTGTCAAAAACATCAGTCTCCGGAACGGCAGATGCTTGGCAATATAATAGATGATATCGGCCATACTGAGTACTATTACAGCCGCCAACATACCAAGAACCAGTATCAAGATATAGATATGGATAATGTAAACTGGCTTTGGGGATTCTCCTACTGCAGGTACAGTAGCAGTACTATAGTATCCGGCTGTTGATACAGACGCAAGGGACTGCGCGAGCATACCAAGGAGGGCTGTGGCCTGGCCCACTGTTGGAAGAATGTAGATTGGGATGATTGTAATATTCCAGACATAGTCATTTTGTAGATAGAGGAGCTACAGTACGGCAGTTATGTAGCCACTTAAAGCATCGAGGCTAACAGTGATAAGTTGGATTGTATTCACGCTTGGAGTGATGGTGTAATTAACCATCTGGTTGTTGTTGTAGATACAAGAACTGACCTGTCAATAGAAGGTTGGGGTGTACTTAATATGCGCAATCCAGATGTTGTTGATAATTGTAAGACTGCTGTTGTCAGTAATAATGCTTATAGAGAGCAGTATAGATGTTATAGCAATAAATAAAGATCCGCCGACAGGGATTCTGTTGGCTGTTTTTGATATCCCATTGCTCTAGAGAAAAATTAGGAGTGTGGCTTCATCAGAGCAGTTTATAGTGCCGTCTGGGAAGATAAAGCTAATATATGGCACGCCAGCTTTATTCTGAATAGCATATTCTATGTTATTTTTTACAGGCTTGCATCCGCTATTCCAATGGTATGTAATAAGGCTGCTGTATCAGATATCTGTCTTGAATATGATATTTAAGGTGGAAGCAGGCCCAATGTCTCCTGGCTTAAATTCGACTAGGCTGTATTTGCTGATAATTAAGCTCTTATATAAGTCTACTATTATAGTGAGGAAGAAGTTGTTAGCATTATATATCGGTATGAATTATCCTGTATCGAACTACCCAATAGAATAACTTATTATTGATATTACTATTTTCAGGAATCTAGCAGGAAGTCCAATAGTACTATTATAATATATTTGCAGTGTGTATATTTGATACGTGAAGAACCAGTCTTGGGCCAGGTGCTTAAGACTGGCATTATATGTAACATCACGTGAGAAAGGAGACCTTATGCTCCCGTCCTCAGCTGTAGTCTTAGCTCGTCATCCATCTTTCTACATCTACATGACAACCTCACTTTATGTGACCTCCGCGGTATATTCGCATCAATATTCCCGTCGTAATAGTCAAAGTGCTGATAGATACAAGAACTACACTAACAAGCATCAAGCAGCCCAGTATTATACCTTGCTATAAGGAGTATTTAAAGATTATTAAAAGAGCAAACAGCCTGGGGTCGGCCATTTTGTCCAGATCAGCAACTCGCATAGGATGCAATGCCGCAATAACAGGGGGATAAAGAAGGCCAAAATCATTGCTCATTCTGCGGGTAATAATTGCAACAGAAGCCAAAAGAATTAATAAAAATAAACCGGAGTAGAATTAGTCGACTTTGATGCCACTCGTCCTTAAAACCTATCTTGTGCCAGATAGAGATAGACCAAAGAGCATCCAGACAAGTAGCACGATTCCGCCGAGGGTATATAGCAGGATAATGAACCAGTACTACCGTATGGGTTCCTGAAACCTGTATAAGGCATTTGCATCGCTGCCGTGCCTTTCCAGGTGGCTATTGTCAATCGACGAAATCAATTGACGGATTGTCTTGTAGCCAGATATTCTATTCCATAAGCTGACGGGGGGGAATTCGACGAGATGACCGAAAGAGAGATTGTGAAGAGCCACAACATGCCTATTTTAATTTTCTGCTCAATTATATATTAATTTCTTAGATAAGTTCAAGAAATACCTTAATCATCACATAAACAATATGCATCAGTAGAAGAATACTTTACGTATAACGTACTTGATAAGCAAGTGTCTCAGACAAGTAAGTGTCTCATCTATACTGTACAGCTAAAAGTATAAATTTTAGATTTTCCAAAATAGGCTATTTAAGTAGTGAATTTTTAAGAAATTAATTTTAGATATCTTAAAAAGAAAGTTATAAGATAGTATTTTCTTTAAAATTTTAACTAATTTATTTAGCCTTTAATATATAAATTTAATAAAAAATACAGTGTGAATAAGCTTTTTCTTAATAACTTTATAAGAGAATTTATTTAAAATCTATAAAAATCATCCTATAAAAAACCTTATTTAATAAACCTCATTATAAGCTTTTAGCTATTTTAAGCTTAATTTGAATTTTTAAAGAATTTCTTAAAATTGCGATTTAAGGTGAAAATCTGAGTGAGACACTTACTTGTCTGAGACACTTACTTATCAAGTACGTTACTTACAACTACTCTAGCTAAACTTGATGACAAATTATGCTCTGCCGCTACCTTCCTAGCTGCTGGTCTTCAAGCTGCTACGCTCCCACGTTTGGCCACCCGCGGCGTCTTATCGGCCGCAGGATTACGTATGAACCGTTTGACCGTCTTGCTTTGCTGTCATCGTCCCGTGCAGCTCCAAGGCCACCTGGTCTAGCGTCCTCCCTTGCACCTTATAGTTGGTGAATGCGAAAGCTGGAACACATCGCAAACCCTTTTGAGTGATACTGTATCGATCCGTTACATGGCCGCTTATTTCCGACCCTTTTATCGTGACGCGCATGGTGCCAGGCAGCCCAATGTGGGGCTTCCACACTGAGCTCTGATCCCACACTGAGCCCTGATCCCACACCACTCCTAAGCTTCCACTATCGGTGGCAAGATCCCTCGCTGGATGAAGCCGATTCGATTTTGCTTCACTTCTATTGCCCGATCATGCTTGGTCATTCTCATTCTCCACTAAGTCCGGCTGGTTAGATGTTGCGTTGGCCGTGGGCGGCAGTGGTGTTCATCCCAGGGCGGCTGGAAGCTTTAATTATAGGTTAGGAAACAGCAAGTTTTCATTGGTTCTGTCCCGCAGGTAGCAGTGCTCATGGATAAGCAAGCCCCTAATCCATGCATTTTTTATCTAGGACCTTGCGTGTAATCTCTGCCATTGGTTTTGTGATAGAACACAGGCGAGGCACCATTTCCTTAGACACTCCTGCACAAGGTGTTTGCCACCTTCGATTTTGGCATTGTGGTTGAACTCAAGTTAACAAACAGATCCAAGATCACATGCTGAAGTCAAAATATTCAACTTTTGAATTCGTGGCTGGCCATCAATCGTATGACGGCTTGTATATTCATGCATCCTGCACGCATCCGTGACATACTGGTCAGCTATAGTACGTAGACTCTGCTGTATTTCAACCCTTTTTAAAATGTCACTCACGGTGACAACATTTTCAACCTTCTTAGACACATGGCGGCGGTGAGTCCCTTGGCGGCGGCTCTAGCCATGTGCTCCTGGTGCCGCAGGCCCGCGTCCATAACTACTCCCAGAATTTTTGCGCTGTTTTTTGATTTGGCCTCGCGAAAGAGGACGATAGGGGGCCCGCTCGACGCTCTGGTGTCCTTGACCTACACTCGCAATATCTGGTAGTCTGTCCAAGCTGTCCCGATTATTCTCAAGCAATCCCGAACGACTGATGCGCCGTTGCAATTGAATGATTCTCATTTACCGCGGCCGTAATTAAGACGGTTGACTATGTCCGTACCTCACGACCCCAAAGTCTTTGCTTCCGGATGGCCCCAAGGGGCAAAATATCACTATCTTAGTAATAGCCATACTCTGTGAACAGACTTTCATCACAGATGTCAATAATCTACGAAATAGCAGCAGTGCAACAAGCTAGCAGTGGGTTAGCGCAGTGATCCTGTGTCGGGTCAGCTGCGGACTAGCGCGGCGATCTCATGGAGGTGACCTGATTTACACGGTTACGACCTGTGGAGAACCCATATCATGCATGCAATAAACTGCATTATTATGTGTGTGTGGAATGACATCTGGACCGCTGACTGGTGTGCACATCATCTAAAAAATAGCCAAACTCTCGATGTTTTAGCGCGCCTCCACTGTTGCATGTTACATCACTAATCACTATCACCAACACCCCCACCATCACTGGAACATCACCGTGCATATAGAATAGCACCACCAGCAAATATTGTCTCACACTGATTCCCTACTTCCCGGAACCGTCATATTAATCCAAGATCTGACGATACGAACCCCTCATGGCTAAATTTTCTTTGCAGAACTGTCATTGAGTGATTAACTCCATTTCAGTCTGCATTGTCCCATTCCCACTGGCTACGCAGCACCACCTCTTGGCGACTCTGGTGAAGCCTTCATATTATCCTAACCTTGAGCGCTTGTCTCGCATCTCCACATCCCTGATTCGAAAATGCCATATATTCCTCCATTGAAACAATCCCCATGCTCGTCGCCATCAGAGAAGGTCCATTTTGATCTACCGTGGCGGTTGCGCACGAAACCCGCGGACCTCGATGCTCCCCTTCCCAAATCTGAGGATGCCGCCGTCGTTAGCGAATCCGAAGATGAGACAGAGAACGGCCAACCCAGAAAACCACGCATAATACGCAAACTGTCTGGCGAATTAGTCCGCCCAATCCTACGCCCACCATCTTATAGGCGTCCTGCCAGCGTGCCAACCAGTCCCACCGCCACAAAGTCTGTTAACTTCCACAGCCACTTGGAAGAGACTCTCGATTTTTTCCGACTGGACTGTCCCATGTCTATCAGCGCTGGATCGCAATCCAGTCATGCCAATAAGACCAACACGGAATATCCCACGTTCCGACACGATGTGGCGTGCCAATGGGAGATGGTTACGCCCAACTTCCCGCACCAGACGAGATCTCACGAGTCCCGATTTGTGTGTCTCAAGAACCTGCAGTTGTTAGACGACCAAAAGTCTTTTCTAGGTGTGGTTGCTGTGAGAAACGCGGCATTCCACAAGTCAGTTACATGCCGTTTCACGTTTGATAACTGGAAGACGATCTCCAACGTTGACGCAGCATATAGCGATAGAGTGGTACTCGAAAAAGCTCCTTCTGGCCACGACTTTTTCGTCTTTACCATCCAGCTATCCGACATCCTCCATCTTGAATCCAAGACTGCCCACTTGTGCGTCCGCTATATAGTGAACGGTCAAGAATATTGGGATAACAACTCCGGCTGCAACTTTCAGGTCTGCTTCTTCAAGAAGGCTGTACCACGCCATGATAATGTCCCGGCTCATGGCATTCCATTACATCCACATAATGGACCCTCCAACAACCCTACGTTAGGAAAACCTACAATTAGTCCTTTTCGCGGGCTAGACTTGGCAAAATGTTACAGTATCAGTGCCTCGCTTGATGCCACGGTCCGAGTTGCAAAGTGCAATAATGCTCGGAGAAAACGCAACACAGCATCTATGGATGCTGCGGTTGGTGATTTCAAGTTATCATCTTCGTTCTCCCGAAAGTCGACAAAACCTAGCTTTAGTGCAAGCTTCTCTGAATCAAAATTCTCAATCTCAATGCACAGTGGCTCTGACAGATGCTGCTTCCCGCGTTCTATGACAGCACACACGCCCTTTGGCGACATCTATATGTACGGCAATTTAAAAGCAATACCCTATCGCCAGTGTGCTTGAGAATTGCACTTTTCCGATTAACAACGGTTACATTAATAAACATGAACCAAAAAACTTAGAGGATTGGCTGAATGTGTTTGATCTATTGGCGACTATGGTGTATGAATTAGCGAAATGGGACCGGGAATCTCATCAATTGGCGTGTATATCAATTTGCAATCTCTCTTCTGCCTCACAAAGCCCAGAACCTGTTCTATATGTAGTACAAAAATGGATCAACCCTGCCACCGGGAAGCTCAAGTTTTCGCGGCATACTTCTGACAATGTTGAGCAACGCACACTAGCTGCAGCAGAGCTATTCCAATCCGGTTATTACACTTCCATTGCAGCGGCAGCAAGAGAGGCCCAAGTCGCGTATGGAAGACTCCGATCCCGTCTCTCAGGAGCGAAGCCTGTCACTGAAAATGGCGGCAACCACACACTCTTAACGGACACGCAAGAGGAGGCAATACTTTGCTGGGCACATCGCCGAGTTACACAAGGCCACAACATTCAACATCGGGAACGCAAACCTGCACTTAGACTCTCATCTGTGGCTTGGGCAGAAATATGCTCTTCATCGCCAGCTTCAACATAGGGGAATACCACAAAATCAATGGCAAGGAACAGGAACTTGGCCACAGGACTACGACCCCGAGGTCGTCAAGGAGGCAGTCAACTTCTTCAGACTTGATGCACAAGAGCGGGCGACAGGAAAAAGAGCTTTAGTCTATGAGGTCGACGGGATTGACATTATATCTGAAGATACTATTAATGTCAGTCAGGGCGAGTTCCTGGTCCCAAAAAGCGAAACAGACAGCTAAAAAAAAATGAGGTTGTGGTCACTTATACACATTTTCGCTTTCCTGTTCTGGAACCACCGATGCCTTCAAAACCTTGTAACCGTCATAAGAAAGATATATCGCTGTCATCCATTTTTTTGGTGCGTATGCAGGTACCGCGATTTGTTGAGTCAACGACTTTTTGCTTGGTGTTGGATCCGTTACGGTCAATTCGATCAAATGGATAGGGATCAATACAGTGATGATGATGTTGATGATTACTTGTCCCGGTCATCCGGATCGGCCGGAAGAGGGGGCGTGAGATGACATAAAACCCCTCTCGAGAAAAGAGGGGGCCGGAGGCATCCTAGACAAGACAATGAACAGATTGAGGATCCACACCCTATTGAGCATTAATCTCTGGATCGAATGTGCCGTACGCTATCCAACAGCGAACTAAACCATATCTTGCCAATACGGCAAATGATGTCAGGGGCCCATATCTTCCTAGAGGCAATCTGCACCAATTAGAGGGCCCAGTTGCTGCTAAGCGCCCATAGTATGTCAGTGCAGCAACCGCTTGGATCAATAGATGTGGATCTGATGAGTGTATGTCTTGATGTGTCTTGATCAAAGATCTAACTTGGACTACGCGGGCCACCTGCTTAGTTGGGGATGGACGGAAGATTTTCCCATCTCTTCCCAAACAATACATAGGAGGTACGTAGCTACGTACATGTAGCGTAGCGAAGGGCGTGGCGGCGACAGGGCTACCCTCCTAGCGCCACACGTGATTGGACTTGCTTCCCCACCAATCCAGGACCCATAGAAAATCCTGTTGGTCCATACGGAGGGCCCTTTCAAAAGTCTTGTCCAAGCGCTAAATGCGCCACATCTCTCAACCCTTGTAAGTTACCTAAGATACAAGGTGTAGAATCCAGCCGTAATGAGCTAGCTGCTACGTCCACTATAGTTTTAGGGGTACTAGGGGGATTAGAATGTAACACAATGAGGACAGGCTGCTGTAAAATTAGCAGCCTTTAGCGGATAAGGCACCACAGGAAGTACTTAATGTACCTAACCCAGCCACAGCCGTCGGATTTCCTTTTTCGAACTAGCGCTTGGACAAGACTTTTGAAAGGGCCCTCCGTAGGAACACAGGAGACCGGTCCCCTACGGGGCCCGCCAACGCCTTTCGGAACGAAGCTTACGGCATGTCTTGGAGAGCACATTGGGCGTTAAGTGATCCGAGTGTTGGGAAGAAAGAAAGAAAGACCTGGTGTTTGAGGCCCTGCGTATACAAGCTGTAGGCAGAACTGAGAGTTCCCTTTTAACTTCAGGATCACAGGATCAAAGATTAAAGTTTGATATCCTACGATTAAGGTTCATAGTCCTAGACGGAGGATCACTTGGAGATATAAATAATAAAGCCCCAAGTATTCAGCACCCCTGCGCAATCCAACAACAGCTAGTGCTATCGTGTCACAGTCCAGTGTCTTTCTGTTGAGATACAATCTCCAAAAAGTAATCGGTACCCACACTGATGGTAGTGTGAATGTAGTATATATGCCTGGTCCTTTCAACACTTTCTAACCTTTCACGTAGATTGAATCGGCGGCGAAGACTTATCATGATTCCATGGCACCTATCCCTTTGACTGTCGTAAGGCGACACTTAGGTCACGAGCAGGGGGTTCCACCAGTTAGAGGGCAGGGTATGAGAGGTACATCAGGGCTCACCTAAAATAGGTGGTAGCAGAAGTTCCATCGATTACCAGCGCTACGAAGATCTACATCAGGTAGCTCAGAACTACACTGTAACTGCTCTTGCGACAGGTATTTCTGCGTCAATCGCACCTAGCCGGGATTGTGTGGGTCTCGCGACCCAGGTGTCGTCTTACGACAGTCAAAGGGATAGACTACTCGAAATGGGACAACATAGACACGGATTCCGAGCCAGAGTTGTCTCCGCAGGCGCCTGCGCCTAAAGCAACCCCGCCACTTGCTCCGGCCTCCTCGCACTCGTCTGCATCCACTTCGACGGCAACACATGGCGCTTCGGGGCCCATCCAAGCCGTCATCGTCCGGTGCGATGTCGAGAAAATCAGATACCTTCCTTGGTCCGCCACCACAATACCCAGCAGACCATCCCATTTTCTCGCATAACGTTCCTCCCGTCCCAGGGCTCATCGAGGTGCCGCTAGTCCTCCACCGCGTAGGCACTCAGTCCACCAACCGTGCCGACCTCGACAACCAGATCGCCACGCACCTCAACATCAACCCCGACTCAGGCTTTGCGCCCCCGGCGTGGCAGTCACATGTCGGAACTATTGTAGTCGCGCGTAAAGATAAGAATCTATTACTTCTGCAGTATCTTGAGGGCGTGTGGATGTACTGCGACCACATTCTGGACCTCTTTGGTGAAGGAGAAGGTGCGCCGAGATGGCTGTATAATCGGCAGGCCTTTGAAGAGTGGTGGGTAGGTTATTGCGAGGAACAGAAGGAGTTTCGGCCGGGAATGGGCGGGGAGAAGGATCCGGACGATTGGTGGGCGGTAAGGTCGCTGTATGAGACCTAAGACTCCTAATATGGGGTTTGGCGTGCGTTCTGAAAAATGCGCCGGGTTGGAGCTTTAAGTCATGGGACCCGGCATGGGCAAGGAGGGTCAGTTCTGGATACCACAAGATCGGCGGCGTTGGAGTAATTTCATACTTCAAGATGAGGCAAAAGGTTAACCTATCTTCAGAATGATCTCACATACATATTATTCCCAGGTATCGCGGCCGCGACCCTCATATATCCGTCTCGTTTCTACGGCTAGGTTCCTGAGTCTCTGCATGCCATCAACTATGGCCTGATCCAGCTTGTTACCGATGAAATCCTAGTGTCGTACAGGACCGAGAAGCTTGACGCCTCGAAGCGTCGTGCACCTGGGCATCGTCAAAATGGACACTGAGCGGCCCTTGCGGGTGGTGGACGGCTCTCTAAGATACCAGGGAGTTTGGAACCGTCGATTGAGAGGTTCCCTGACTCCCTCGTGCCCTATTCTGAGTGCGTTGCCCATCCAGATCTTCCCATGTACGGGGAATCTCATCAATTGGGACTCTGACTGGTTCTTGCCGAGGCATGGTAGCAAGTGGATACGTATGAGCCACGGGTGTGGTGAGGAGGGAAAGGAGAAATAAAACAAATGACGCGCCATGTCTGACGTGGAAAGCGGTCGAAACAAAAGAGAGTAAGTGTCTGGCATTGAAGGTTCCAGGCCCGGCCCTGCCATCGGGGGGGACAAGAAGATCAGGTTAGGATGCAGGTAGCCAAAGAAGCAATCACCGCCACTTGTAGAAAAGAAACAACCGAGAGCCAATGGTAGGACGGTCTTCCCCGTGCCACTGACGACAAAATCGCAACCATTTTCTGTAGTTATAAAAAAAAGTAGGACTGACGACAAATCATTTTCTATAGACAAAACATTTTCTGTAGACAAAACATTTTCTGTAGATAAATCATTTTCTGTAGTTATAAAAAGGAGCTCCGGAATGGGACGGAGTAGCGTTTGGACTGTGGTGGACTGTGGCTTAGAGTGGCGAAGTATGGCGAAGCGCAGAGGACGCGGAAGGAAGAACCTTTCGTTCCGAAAGGCATAAGACGAACCCCCCGCCAGCACTCCAAGCCGGGACCTAGAAGCTCCCTCAATCACCATGAGTTGCGCATTGACACTCCGTCAAGCACAACACATGGGCCCGAGGCCCGATCCCCTCTGGCAGCAAGCGATGCAGATGCCATTCCTCGACGATAAACCGATGAGCGGCCCCCCACCCTGTACGGCGCGAGACTTCGAGCTACCGCGCCTCCGACGCTACATCTTTGACCTAAGCACGATGACCTAGGAGGACAGGCTCGGCGGCGGACTCGACGGGTATGTCTGGAAGGTCTGGTTCGGGGAGATGGGCCGCTTTGTTTTGAAGGTGGTGAGTGCTGCCACCAAACAGTGCGGAGATTTCTCAGGCTGACTCCCTTCTTTTAGTTCTAGGACACGGACCCTCCCGACTTCCATCACTACTACGCCGCCCAACGTTGGTGTATATCTACCCCCGGCCGCCCAACTTAGAAGCCAGACAGTAGTAAATAGTCCTGTCATCGAAGTTGGATCAGGCCCTTCTCAGGCTCCGACAGTCCCCTATCACCCGCGGCGACGTGACCACCCCGAGCGACACTGCAACACTGACAAAGAAGAATTCCCCGGCCTCCCATCGTCCTCTAGGCCCCAACCCATGGCTACCGTTGTGGACATCCTGGATGACATGGGGTCCATTGTCGCCAGCATGGAAGCCATCACGCCAAGGCTGCAGAATCCCAAACTTCGCCTCTCCGGTCAGGAGGTCACACAACTTCGGTGACGCGACATTGCTGACGCGAGAGAGTCGTGGTGGTAGATGCTGCCTGCTAGAACTCTGTGCTAGTGGTTGGTGGGCTTGGGGAAGAGTTGACATGTCGGTTGAGCGACCGCTCCTTTCCTAACCCTCTTGATAGCACCAAACCCGCAAGATGTCAATACTGCTTGCGGAACTTGCCATATCTGCGGCGAGAGTCGATGGGTCAAGGGATGCCGCGGAGGAAACCGTCAACGTGGGAATGCGCTATTGTACAGTAGTCCGGTTTGGTTCTTTAGAGCGTGTGTAGGTCTCATTTTACCGGGTACAGTCTCCCTGAGCTATTTGCAGTTCGAACGATTTGGTCTTGATCACCTAAGAGCTCCATTTTTCTGCTAGTTACACTGCCTCTGCCCTATTATATCGGATCCATTCGACCCAAGATCTATCCTCTTCCTTTATTATAATCGAATATGGCCAGTGGCACTAATACCAGACTTTATCGACTTTTGCGAAAATGAAAGAGATGCTAGCTTGAAACTGCTAACCGTGGCGTTCATGGACCCCATGTTGTCTTTTCTACGAACATTGCATTTGGCAGCTCGGACCTTTCATCAAGCGATGCGCTGATGCTGTAACATTTTGCGAGGTCCAACCTTCGAAAGGGACTAGATGTGGGCTTTACCGGCGCGGTATTATTGGTGAGTCCATTACGTGACTGCAATGGAACACCCTGACCCAGGGCTCTGCCATCTCGCAGCGAAGTCGTCTTAAAGAAACAGAGCTGAAAGTTGCGGCCAGAGTTGTTATCCCAATACTCCTGGTGTTACATAATATGCATCTCTTATACACAACTTATCAGCGCCTCCTGTTAGAGTGTGCATTCCACTTTTGGTCTGATGAGTTAGCGAGACAGAATGCGACAGCCATAGATAGGGGTTTGTATTGCCGGATCTTGGAATGATAAGATGGTTCCGAGTGGGAGCGAAGCGGTACGAGCATATTCGCTGGTGGTACGATGCTCTATATGTGGTGATGTTTGAGTGTTGGTGTTGGTGAAAGTGATTAGTGATGTAACTGTGGAGGAACGCTAAAATATCGAAAGTTTTCTATTCTCCCTGTGTACATTCGCCGTCCCGAGGGGAAAGGCATGGCAGACGGGCGCTACCGGGCACTTAGAGGATGGCGCGCAACAGGGCAGTGGTCGACACAACAAAACGGCCACACACATATAATAATGCAGTATTTATACGTCCACGCACGATCGGTTCTCTCCACGGGTCGAGACCCTTCATCAGGTCACCTCTATTCATTTTAGCTATCGCAGCCACGAGGGAACTAAGAGATTGGCGTGGTGGTGCGACGGTCGGAAGACCCAGAAGCCGTGATGGAAGTCGGGCTCTTCTGTTTCAGCCGTTGTATCATGGGGTCTAGGGGTCATTCCCGCGGTCATGGCTTTTTTGGTACGGAGTTCAAATCAAACAGAAAGCATCCATTCTCGAGGCATCAACCCGCTGTTCAGCGGGCGATGGTCGACGCCACATGGCTTCCGTCTCGCCGCGTAATTCGCCGTGGGGAGCGTCCATGATCTGGACCACAGTCCCTGCAGGGTTTCCCTTGCCAAATCCCAAGTCTAGACCTATTCCGTAGAAGCAGGATTCAACCCCCTGCAACCCTTTCGTCATATCGTATGATGTACAAAAGTACTGGTCTTAGACCCTTAGACAAACAAACTGTGGATCGGCATCCGGAGTTCGCCTTGGCAATCGTCACAGAAAATCCAGTATGAGGAGGAACCCTGGCCTGATCGCACTACTGGTCGGGCTGCCGGGCCCATAGACCGACGGGTAGTACAGACTACCCAGCGATGTGATCCCATGACTTTATCACTAATAATCACAATATGCTGTCCGATTGCAGGTATAGACAGATACCCAGCATTGGGGGATTCGTTCAGGGTTATATTAGGCTCTAAAAGCAAATTCTTGTAACAACGCCGCCATTATTATAGCGCCCTTTGCTAGTAGTATCTACGTCAGGTCCTGCGGGGAAGAGGGAAAACGTAACTCAAAACGATGATATCAATCATTCAACAGGAAAAGCTCCTCTATCGTGGTCTGCACCTGCTGACAATAAGATGCTGATGATTGGCTGAAACCAGTGTGGCAGAAAGGGTCCAGAACTTGAGCCATCGTTCGATCATGCAATTCGGACCCCCGGCCGCACATCACCGTTCGAGACCCCCCGCAAGGGGAGAAGAGCTAGGCACTAAGAATCTGTACTACCATGAAGCTAACTGGAGCATGTCGCAACTTATTGCATCAGAAAAGCCATGAACGCCTAGATTGACCGGCTTTTCTTCCCTACTATCACACATATCGTACATGGGAGACTTTGGGCCTATGTAGTATTCCTCGTGACTCGGCGATGGCCGCTGTAATCAGCCCATACTTGCATCAAGGGGTGGCTGCCACTAAGTTGCTGCCAGACAGTGTTATCCCCGGCATCCAGAAATCAAAGCTTATATGGTTCTGGCCCATCAAGCCATCAACACATAATCGATTCTCTAGACAGTGCACAAATCACTACTGAGGTCACACCGACCTTATCTCCCGCACGAAAATGGACGCCACGATATGTCCTTTGGACCTGGTCATATCCTGTCGCACAAGCGAAAATGTAGGTACCATGCATGGATCCTCTTTGTCTTTGAATCCACTCAGGGATCTACCCCAAGCTACACTGTGCAGCCTACCCTATCTCATCCTTCCCCCCAGCATCCTGCTCCACATTCCCCAAAAGCCGAAATCCCTGTGGCGCTCTCGCATAATTTTCCCCAAGACACATAAGGTATCCAGATTGCTGGAACAAACCGTGGGGCATTGTCATCTCTGAACTTGAAGAACATGCTCATCGTTTGTTAGGCTGCGGCGTCAGAAATCGGTCACTTTCCACCTGCATGGGATCAATCCATCCCCAGATGCGACAATTACTCCAAAAAGGCACCATTTTACGAAAACTACTATGGGAATCGCCCATGGCTTTGTTTCAATGACTCTTCACTGTCGCCTTTCCAGAGCACAGCCGTTTCCTCTCCAGAATCTGACTGCATCTCACCCATTCTGGATGTAGAGGTAGCGCTGAATTTCTGTATGTCATATCAAGGCTACTTGCAACTCGCAGTCGTAACTAAACCCAATAGACGTAGGGGATACGTCAATAGATATTATGGAGTCCATTCCTTGGGATCTCGGTCTAGATCAACCAACATATAATAGTCTTCCCACGTCAGACCTATCCCAAGATGTTCAAACTGCCTCCGATTATACTCGCACAACGGCCTACCGACAACAATCAGACGTATTTTCTCTCGGGGGCAAGAGAAGAGAAAGAGAGTCAACAAGAAGCTTAGTCGGTGACCCCGTAGGGACAGTAGCGAGCAATCCCTGGGCAGAGCCGGGCCAAGACGAAGCGCAAGAAGGGGATCATACCTCGAGCTCACGACGAAAGCAAACCCTCCAATCTCGACGACAGAAAAGAAACAACAGAAAGACTTCCGAAACATCCCTTGCTGGCAGTGCCAGTACTGGTAGTAGTGCTCCCTCAGTATCGGACGCTGCCAGTCCCAGCTCCACGTCGCAGAACAGCCGCGCCAGCATTGGGTCGAAATCCACGTCGATGGCTTCTACTGCATCAATGGCTTCCAGCCGTCAAGCAAAGCTCCGAAGCGCATCTCGAACTTCGAAGAACAGCCATTCCCGGTCAAACGATACCCCCAAAGAACGCCGAACGCGCCTCTCGCACAACCTCGTCGAGAAGCAGTATCGAAATCGTCTCAATACCCAATTCGAATCCCTTCTCAGCGCCCTACCAGAACAACTTCGCGCGGGGAACAATGAAAATGGCGATAGTGACGAATCGGAGGGGAATGATGCGGACTGCTGTGTGAGCAAGGGCGAAGTTCTGGATATGGCTCGCAAGCATATACAATTACTGGAGCAAGAGCGCGCTGAGTTGGAACGCCAGAACCTCGAGCTTCACGGAAACCTCCAACGGCTAACGGGATCTGCGTCTGATGGTAGTGTCCTCGTCGGGCCAGGAAACTCCGCTCGATTTTCAAAGCCAATGCGGATGGCGAGAAACAAGCCGACGACCAGGACAAGAGTTGAAAACGAAGGAATGCCAAGAAACAGAGAATGACTGCGCAGGAACATGACCCGCCGAAATGGAAGTTGAGGCATCCCTTTACACCCGCCTGGTCGTTTATCGCTCGGTGAAAATGCAGTGTCATCATATCGAAGCCCCCAGATGAGCGGCCTGGTGCGTACGCGCAGCGCCAATCGTCTCGCCAAAGAATAGAAGAGCCCGACCGACTCATACCCATAATGCTGTGTAGAAAAACAAGAAAACCCAAAGATGCCCCCACAACGCCTCGCCTGCTGTACGTCGCCATACCCTTTTATCAATGTCCTGTATGATGTTCGTGTAATGAGCCAGATGAGAAGAGTGAGGGACGCAGGTCAATAGCAATAGGATAGAAGGTGGGGGTGGTGATGTAAGATTAATCTTGTGTTGGATTGCGACCCTGTATTACGAAACCTCTGATAGATTGATATCCTGACCTTAGTCAGAAGGGGGGTATGAAAACCCCTCTTCCGGCCGATCCAGATGACCGGCACAAGTAATCATCAACGTCATCATCACTGTATTGATCCCTATTTATTTGATCGAATTGACCGTAACGGATCCATCATCTTGTTAGATTGGATCATGTACAGAGCATCGAATCGGATGGTCACGTGGTGACAGCCAGCCTCTGCCGGGCACAGCCCGAATAGGAAGGCGGTCAGGGAAGCCTATAACCCCTGATCAACGCCGCGATAGCCTAGCTAAGGGGGAGAGATACACACATACCGGTACAATACACACGATTAAGTCATCTGAGTGTCACGCCAGCTTTCCGACAAGATGTGCCACCACATCTAGCAAGATCCACAAGGATATGACTAGCGATAACCAAGCAGCGGCAAACAAGAACACTACCAGAAAGAGTCGGGAAATACTCGAAGCAGATAGACACGGCACTGCCAGGCAAGCATACCCGTGCTCTGTATGACCCGCTGAAGAGGAAGGAAGCAGACATACTGTCGCAGCTCCGCACCGGAATGGCGAGACTTAACAGCTTTCTGTGCAAGATAGGAGCAATAGAATCGGACACTTGCGAATGCGGGCAAGCATCAGAACACTTCCTATTCCGCTACACAAAGTGGGCCGCGCAACGAGAAGATATACTGCAATGCTCACAGACAAAGATAGGAAACCTCTCGTTCTTCTTAGAAGGAAAGGCAGCATCTGACAGGGACAAATAGACGCCAAATATACAGGCAGTACGGGCAATAATCAAATTTGCTATTGCAACAGGGAGGCTTGACATAGACCAGAAGCCTCAGGCATACTAACTATTTAGATCAAATCCTACTAATATTATACAGTCTCATTTTAACAGACCGTACTTCAGCTGCTGAGGATAGGATGCTAGATACTTAGAGAAATTAGCCTTCAAGCAGGCCTGTTACGGGATATACACCAGATTGGACCAGTCAGTAAAAAGGGAAATTGTGGGGCTTCGGGTGATAATGGAAACTCTATACGAAACGTAAATAGCTTAGCGCAACGGCCCTATAGGGTGTGTCCCCCGGGGCGGAATAGAATCAAATCAAAATCAAATCAAAATCAAATCAACCATACCATACCGGACCATTCCGATCACTGCCGGGAGTCCTCTTCGCAGGACACTCGACAGCCAGAAGAACGCCGGTGGCGACATGTCCATGATGTTTCGTACAGTCCCGTTTCCCGAGAAAGTTTGCCTCTCCAGAGCTGCGCCAGATCAAGGGCCTCAACACAGAGACCATCACGAGAGTCGTCTTCCCTCCGGCCTCCGCCGACCTGGATAACGGCCACCGACTACACAGCCCTCCTGTCCGACTCCGACAATGACTCTGCCGGCTGCGGCTTCTTCAGCCTTAATATGTCCATTTAAAACCAGACAATCGATCCGTCCTACTGGGACGATCTCTGGTTCTTTATGTACGGCCGTGTTCATTCCTATGCACTCACCTGGCAGATCGACCCCAGCGACGGCTAGGAGACTGGCGATAATCTCCAAGATTATATCATTCCCGCGCTTATCGTCTGCGATCAGGGTTATCAACAGTGAGCCCATCATACCCACTCTGTAACACAAGATAACCATCGCTAACAAACTTCTCCAGCATCGCTCCTCGAACGTTTGCCACGCCAGATACCTTCCCCGCCACACCTCCGATAGTAACTTTTACTGGAACTGTCCTCGGCTCCGACCGCACGCTCCTCCTGAGGGAGGCTATATCCGGCCTCGGAGACACGCAGCGGAAGTGTTGCGGTTTCGTGCAACTGTCAACGTTCATCACGACTGGAAATCCGACCAAACCCCCTTTCAGGCACAGGCAAAGTGGCAGGTTTCCTCGCCCACCGTATCGTGGTCCAGCCACCGCAGCTCCCACAAGATTATATCTTCATCGTCGTCCCCTACTTGGACCTTCCATGACAGAGCCGCACGAGACTCCATGACCACGTCCCTCGTGGTCACGACTCCGGGAAAGCAAAAACCTACAGACCCCTTTGATCGGACCAAGTTCATGTTGCCATCAAAACGCACCACTCAACCGCCCCCGGTGCTAACAATGACAGCCAACCCGCCCGGCTCCTCCTGGTAGGTGCTGCCTCGTCCCTCCGCGTGAACGAAACTGACCGTATCTTACAGCAGCGACGCCCACTCCCCCTTCGACATCCTCTTCCAGTACGTCCACCTGTACGATTCCCTAACAAAAGCCACCCCACCCGACCAACTCTCTTCATGCTAAACACCCGTTTCCTCAGGGCCTGCTCAGGACGAATACGGAACGCCGCCTCACAAACGTTCCAATCCTTGGAATCGTCAAGCAGCTCCATTCAGCCCCTCAGAGAAGCCGCGCACATTGCAAACTGCCCAAGGCAGCATATACGACTTGGGCGGCACGCCCACCACTAGGCCGGAGGATCTCCTTCGCATTCCAACCGAGGCGAGACCAGAAGCTAATCTGCCGCACCAAAACTCTACTACTGAACCTCTAGCTCTCTGCACAGCACCTCCCACTGCTGAACTTAATATATTAGACGGCACAATAAGGCCGCATTGTAACCGGCATCCTCCCAAGAAGTATTCGGAGTCAGACTAGGAAAATTTTACGTTACCATCAATAAAGATTAAAACATTTACTCGTCGTCTGAAACCTTTATATACTATCTTTGTCCTTGTTTCCTATGCTATTTGCGAACCGACCTCTATCTTACTAGACCTTCTAATGAGCTAGCTATAACTGATTACTTAATGAGACCCTTGTGAAAAGAATTACTTCCAAGTAGACCAGCTGCATTCCGGTAAGACCAAGTGGCGGCAGCTGCCAACAAGCGACGAGCTGCAACCAACTTTGCAGGACTAACACTGTCATCACATCATCTACTTTTATGAATAATTGACAAACCGAAGTGATCGCAAAGATGGACATTGAATTGGTCGCAACAGATGCACTTGAAGAGTTCTACAATACAGGTGTAGGGGACCGGGCCACCCTAAAATAGGGGTCATCAGGGTTAGCCTTGATCCGGCAGTTGACGTGGTTATCCCGGATCCGGCGGTTGAAGGGTTCGGAAACAGGAGTCCTGACGTCTGACAATAATCAACTTCAACCTCGTTGGCCATAGATTTCTTTTTAGATTTTTTTTGAGCTTTATACTAATTAAAGCATCTAGTTTCGTTCCTCAAGGCTCTTTTGGGCAGGCCGCTTGCGGTTTGCGTCTCCTGTCTTTGGACACAGCTCTCACCCTCGTTCGTGTTTGTCCACGTGATTCCTGATGCCACGTTAGGGCACAATTATCTCCATGATTGCCATGTGAGATCCCGGTTTTTTCTCCCTCTGTTGGGATTGGTTGAGCACCTGTGGCTTATAAGGTCTAGAACTTAGCCATCATGCGATTGACGATTGAGGTCGCATACCACCATTGGAGCCACCTGCGTCCGAAATAGATCAGGGTGGCGAGGATAAGAAAAGCCCCTGAACTAAGAATCTGCACTGCCATTGAGTATCCGTGCACATGGGGTGGCAAAATAATAATAAAAATATGCTGCAGTGTGAATACTGCCTAGAACAAGCTGCTGGATAGCAGCACACATTTCCACCGAGATTTGTCAATCAGTCTCCTTCGCAAATGTTGCGACAGGCGAGCTTGAGGCTCACGTCTATATGCAGCCCCTACATTGACTATCCGCCTGTGGCAAGCACGACTCTGCCCTATAGAATCCCTCCTTCTTTTTTTAGTTTACTATATTAGACTCAGTCGTTGAGCGAACCGTGGTGAGTGCGTGGCACCCAAAAAAATGTAACAGATGAAACCATCCCTAGTTCTATGTTGCCCCACTCGATTTGACAAAGCCTTACCCATGGATAAGAATACTTTCGTGGCGGGGTCATGGTTATTATTGAATCAGCAACGGGTAAGCTGGTGTGAGGCATCAGGTGGCAGGATTAAACATGAAACGCCTCGTTCAACATAGCTGGATCAAGTAGGCTATTTTACGATCGGCCACGGGGCAGTGCCGGCACTAATTATAAAACTACGAAAGAGCGAATCAAGGGATCTGCCAAGTGGCCAACGTACATCACCCGCGGAAGTTGATGCGGTGGTCACTATATGCCCACTACACACCGATCTCTATTCTATCTCTTGCACCTTTTACTCGTTTGCTCGGGCGCACCAACGTCTCAAGGATCTCTCGATGCTTGATCTCATCCCAGACATATTACACATGCCTTCCTTGCTCAACATATCCGTTTCCACTCACATCCTCCAAACTGACCCACTCATCTCGGGTTCGGCCTGGGGGCATTTGCATCCAAGTCTCCGGGCCTTCTTCCTCACTTTGGTTCTGAGCAAGCAAAGATTGCTTTTGGGTCCGTGCCCTCTTCACCACACAGATAGACGTGCTGACGACGTATGCTACAGCCATAAGGCCAACGACCACCGCGTACGCAATGGTCTGTGACAATGGGGCACTCGCAAGCTGGAGCCCTACCCCTCCGTTGATGATACCAAGGATCATGAGAATTCTGCCGTACCAAATGTGCGCGTGGCTGATGATTCCTCGTTGTTGATGTTTGATGAAGTGGACGTGATGTGCCCATCCGAGAAATGGTTGGAGTCCAAGTAAGGCGCATATAACAACTCCGAGTATTACATGGCTCTCTTTCCCCCACTGCCAAGCCGCTATTAGTATGTCGGTGAAGATTCAATATAGATATGCCCATTCTCTTGGAAAACTTACAGAGCCATCATCGCGAGAAATAACGTAGCCGATTCCAAACCCAACCCACATGCCTAAGAAGGTAAAGACCTGCCAGCCTGCATGGATCATCCACTTCCCGAGGATGGGCATGAGAACAGCGCCAACGGGATATGCGATGGCGAAAACGATGGCCATTATGATCCCATGGGCGTTCACAAGGTGCTCGCTAGTGCTGCTGCTCGACTGGGAAATCGCCCCAGACCCGGAACTGCCACTCGAGCCTGTAAAAGGGTTTCCGTTCGAACTGAAGGTCGCGAGAGAAAAGTCCACTTGAAAGGAAGCATAGCCATCATGCTCCTGGATGCTGTGTGAGGGATCGGTCGAGTCTAACGCAGCACCCTGCTTCCAGCCTGCGATCCATGAATTGGAACCCGAGAGGTCAAGTCCGCTGCAGTCCATACACTTGATGTTGGCCACCATGTAGCTGTTGCTGACGCCTGATCCGTCGATGAGCTCGACCTGGGATCTCTGTGTGTATTGGGGCATGTTGTGGCCTGTACAGGTTCTTGTGCTCAGGGTGACATTTCCAGTGCCGTCTTGGTACACCAAGAACATGTCGGCGCCTGCCATCACCGAACCGATTCCGAGGCCCACCCATTGGTAGCTCGTTGGGGCTTTGACCTGGAAGTAAACATCCCCCGTCCCTGAGCTTGCCGCTGTCGTAGGCACTCCCCAGCGGAAACAGGCGTCTTGGTTGTTTGGGCAGTAGGAAGAGGTCGTTGCCAATACACCTCGGGTATCTGGAGAGTGGTAAGGACGGTCTGTTAGTTACTGTAATTTCGGAGGCTCGCTGGGTAGATTGTGGAGGGTTCGGGGGGCTGGGGCTTCTGCATACACAATGAGGTGGCCGCAATGACGAGTTTGCTCATGATGGACTTGATTGCTTTACACATGACAACAATGGCAATGAAATGATGCAGGATGGCTTGGAATATCGATTACGTTGTGGATAAATTGAAGCCTTTATTCCACAGCCTACAGCAGCAGCGGATAGTGATTAAGCATCAACGTCTTAAAACCTCGGTAGACTGCGGTCCTGGAAAGTTAATGCGTCGTCAGCTCTCGGCTGAGCCACCTTCCTCTAGTCCATGCTAATACGAGAAACGAGCTGCTCCTTCAGTGCCCCAAGATCTAGCCCGTCGCCTCAATGCTGCCGCTTCACTAGCTTCGAGGTACGTAGCTGCGACGGACCCGAACTGTTTCTAGGCTCTGTTACGTACGCAGGCTTGTGCCACTCATGGTAACCTAACCCTGTTTACCAGCACTACGGGTTCACACATTCACACAATATGGCACAGCCGATGAACAGTGGGTGGCGAGTACGGAGTACTCGGTAAAGGAATGTAGACATCATCTCCATCAGCTGTGGCGTCACAGCTCTCGTTAGCGGGCCCCCCAACAACTGAGCCCAAGCCAAGAGCCATTGTTTCTTGTGCCCACCACAGAGCCCAATCACGCAGGTTGAATTTCTAAGCAGTCCGGCCATTGGGAAAGACAGGACACCTGGTGGGACGAGTCACATCCCCGTAGCCCCGGACGTAACGAAGCTCAGAGCCTCAGTTTCTAACTTACGATACGGCAGTTGCTGGAGCGGGGGCGACAAAAAGCTTGGCCAAAAGCTTGGCCAAAAGCGTGGCCTGATGTGCACTGCGTTATGCTTAATTAGAGGGCCAGGCACAGATATTATCCCAGCTGCGGAGCTCAGGGCACAATGCACTACTACGTAGTACTTTGTAATGCCTAGCGATTGTCTCTTCGGCGACCACACGCGTCCACCATCCACCACACACCCTCCTCTGTGGAAATGACATCACCCACACGTTGATTGAAACAGTGCAGTTCGGCAGCGACTGCGGCTGCCCAAACCTCGCCTGCAATGTCATATCATGGCAAAGTGGCTTGCAGTCTCTTGGAGGAGACCGTGTCGCGGCGGCCTGCATGAGCTTGCTACATTGGCGTTGCTTTTTGTCTTGCTTCGTGTACGCGCTAACCACCCCACCTGTCGACTCAGCCCCAAACGCTGACGTTGCCTCGACCCATTCATGAACTGACTGACCCCTAAGACTGTGTCGGGATTTTTCGGTGAGAGTAACGCAAAAACTACGTATTGTGATGATAACACGTGCCAAATCGAAGCGTGATCCCTCGATATTCTTGACCGACGGCTCAGCACCGGACTTGACAATGACATGGTGAGATCGCCTGCTGTCTAGCCCCTGCTACGTAGCAAATCTGAGTTGGCGGCAACACGTCGTGCAACTATTGGGCGGGCTCCAATCAGGCACAGAATGTGAACGACAGGTACTCTTGCAGAAGCATTCCTTCGCGTACACGACATCGTTACGCAGTGTTTGTGTGTTTGAACCAAATGTCGGTGTTTACTCCTCTCCTCTTTAAACAAGCAGGAGCATGTCCAGCTGGCTCGATAGACTGTTGTCAAGTATCGTCTGGACAACTGAGCATGTGCAAATTAGTTCCCCTCCTACCAGATTTACCTACCAACGCCACAGAATCACCATGGAGGAACCAGGTAGTGCTGGGATAACCTCAGTGTGGGAGCTGCGCCGGGCAGCCTGCTGTCGCTGTCGCCTTGAGACTTCGACATCTCGTATGGCTATTCCAATCACGAAGCACTTCATCGAATAGAAAATGAACACTTGTGCCTCTTGCTCCAGCTGAGCCGCAACAATTATCCATTCGTTTCAGCCCTTTGTCTGGTTATACTGGCAGGCAAGATAGGCAAGAAAAATGAGAATAATTTTCGTAGTTTTTTGGTCGAGTCTTTCCAATTCTTTTCAAATACATTAGCGGCAGTGAAATATTCAATTCATTTTCTTTCTTCTTGAAATATTGGAAGAGGAACTCACGGCACGCATTCTTAATATCTCCGGACCTCGTTTTATCGACTAGGTATGAATTCGGCCATGCATCTCCCACCCGGGACTCGAAACCATGAGAGTCTGGGTCTTCCGTGTCGTCCCCCCGAAACGAATTGACTGCTTTGCCCTTATTTGGGGCAAGTTACTTTGCTTATGCTGCAATATTAACTGCTAGACCAGGATCCAGAATGCTAGAGACGTTTGTCCACACTGCTAATGCGCTATCCGTTCCCGGTTCAAGGGCACTTTGTTCAACCAGCTTCCTGACCTAATGGTTTTCATGACAACCACGTTCGCCTCTTTCCCCTGTTTCTCAGGCAAATGGGTTTGTATGGAGGTCATAGAGCCTCTTGTCGCATATATCTACCAGCCTTCTACGAATATCCTTTGCCGAGTGTGGCCAGAACGGGTTCCAGAGTTATCTCACATCACAAGGATCTTGCCCTTCTGTAAGGATTATTTACGGCACTTGTGAGCTCTCAGAAGGTAAACAATATGCCCTGACTGAAGTGCTTCATGAAGTACCACTGGAAGTCCCATCACTCGTGTCATCCCGCCATCATTAACGAACACGAAGCCATAGCCGACGCCGAGGCTAAGCCGAGTCGCCCAATCATGACTGCCACGTTTCTGTCACCCAAAATTGGCCAAGAAGAATACTCGCGAGTCTTCTCCAACTTCTCTGAGGAATAATCACGCTCTGCAAGACTAGAGGAAACAAAGTCGACCTCTATGGATATGGGTGTTTTGGTTAGCGTTTGCTCTACGTGCCATCATCAGCTTTATCAATCTCAGTACACATCTGATTCATCCGCACTAGTCGACCATGTACCTCGTTCATGCCGAAGACTTAGAAGGAAAGAGAGAGGGGAACGGCGGAGGGAAGTTTGCGGGCCGCGTCGCTCATATTACTGTTAGTGTTTCAAGGCCTAGCAACTCGATTCTCGAAAAGGTTATTGACTTGAGCTTTGAGCTGTCTCCCAAAATCTACCTGCGCATTCTATATCGTTTATACTTTATATATATATATATATATTTGGCATATTTTAATAGTAACAACACCTTTCATCATTATTCCCGCATGTACTGGCTTTCAATCTGGGACTGGACAATGGCATGACAAGACCGCGGCGTAGATCAATAGCTTGCTTATGCCCTGATCGGCTCAAACGTGACCTTTGAGGGGCACGGATACAAAAGTGACATCGAAAATGCATCAGAAACCCACTTGTATTTGAAGTACCCTCCGTCCATGAATCATAAAGCTCGGGCCTCTTCCGACACAAAGCTGGAATAGCCGTTTCGTTGTCTACGGTTTTTCTCGATAGTTACCATACGGACTTCCCACTCGGTCACCTTCGAGACCGCCTATAAGGAACCTTGGAGGGCGAACTTCCTGGGCAACCAGCCCACATTAGATCTAGCGGCAAAAGGCACATGTACGTGCCGCTAGACAAGGAACCCCCAGTCTGACGGCTAATCTACTAGCCTAAGAGGGAAAGGGGCGCCCTTTTAGAGTCTACTCCATGCTCTCCAAAGTCTTGCCTGAAGGTTACGTTTGAGCCGATCAGGGCATTAGACCCGTACTGTTGACCTACTTCCTTCTAATAATTTGCGGGGAAGCCTATATCGGCTGTGATTCTGGACCATTAACTTTTGTCGAGAATCTTATTTCCACATTTAGAGTCAGGGTTTAAGTTCATCATTGCTATCTTAGACTGTGATGTGAAGTGGGCATCTGTCTTCCAAGGTGCTGGGATATCAATGATGATTTTTTCCATATCAAAGCACCCGTTTTCCTCCTCGCGCAGTCGCTCTCGTACCTAGAATTGCATCACACCACGATTCTTCAAGATTGGGTCACGTTCCGAATTGTGTGCAAAAGCGTTTTCGGTACTTGGATCTCTGAATGTGTGGGAAGGGGACAGGGGAATGTGGGGGAACGGGAGCAACCCGGTATGGTGGCCGACGCATAGCTTGGCCGTAGGAGGGCCGCTGGTTCGACTCTCGTACCACTTGAATGGATCCCCACTCCTGGACGAAGCTTGGGCACCTGAAGGTCTGGGCCTTGGGAATAAGGGCTACCAATACGTAGTACAGTATGTACGTACTCTACTGTACCAACATGAGCATGCATTAGTCTCCGTCAGGCCACACCGTAGATAGTTCGGGCGGTATCCACCGATATGCGGGGTTCATCGTATTCAATCCGCTACGGTATCCGACACTAGATTTAAGCCTCAGCTTGAACGTTGCCAGTATTAATACTCCATCTCGTGAACACGGAACACTGACCCACGACCCCCATCTAGACCGTTTACCGATACCTCATTACAGTTGCTGACATCATCATCATGATTGCACATCGTAACGCCCGATTCTATTGGTGCATTGAGCAGAGACTTACCATTTGTTGAAAGCTAATTTGAGTTTGCGTTAGGTTTTATATGGGCTGTTAGTGACGCCGTAGCGTAGTCGTCAGGCCACTCTTGCGGTTGATTGCGAGCAAACTATAAGATGTGTCTTCCCCAATTTTGAGGGAAGACACCTAATTTCAATCTTGAACTCGCTTCTGTATCTTCAAAATGGCAGACTCAGAACTGTTTGATGTCGTCGTTGTCGGTGGCGGCCCAGTTGGGTTGGCCGCCGCGTACGAAGTCGCCAAAGCGGGCCGGAAAGTCATTATCCTAGAGCAGAACAACTTCTTCAACCATGCTGGAAGCTCCGGTGGACTGGCGCGCATATTTCGAACAATGTATGGCTATGGCAGCCGCGTCTCTGCCAGAGCTAACAATACCCAGGTACACTGAGGAGTTCATGACCAAGTTCGCTAAAACATCCATGAAGCACTGGGATGACCTTGAAAATGATGCGGGGTTCTCGCTGCGGTCGATGAGCGGCCTGCTTAATTTTGGCGAGAAAGGTAATCAATTCCCACCATCTTCTACTTGCATCATGATGCAACTTAACCTAACCTATCTAGGCGCGGTGATGAGCCCAACCGAAAACCTGGACAAGCTTGGGATGAACTATAAGAAACGTAGGTTATCAAATTATTGGCATTTCACCCTCTTGTGCTAATTTGAACAGTTACTGCGGCGGAAATTGAACGAAAGTACTCATTCAAAAATCTGAACCCTGAATGGGTTGGCCTCTTTGCTCCCGATAACGGCATAATCAATGTGCAGCTACTGGTGCGGACTCTTCACTCTTTGGCCAAGGATCGCGGAACACAAGCAAAGCAACACACTCAGGTCAAACAGATTCGCCGCTCAGAAAAGATTAATTCCAACTGGGAGATCCATGTTGTGACGTATGGGTTATCGGCCACCTACTTTACCAAGAAGATCATCATTGCCAGCGGTAACTATATTAATGACATTTTAAGGCCAAACTTCCGCATAACTCTTGACCTGGAAACTCGGAAAATTGTTAAAACATATATTAACACAGATCTCAATCCAAGCGGCACTGTTTTCCCTAGTAGGTCCCCATTTCACTTTACTTCCATCCTTCTAATCTGTTTCAAAAGGCCCGTGGTTTCACTCTACCCTTATGGAAAACAAGCGACCTCGTGTGTTCTACGGAATGCCAGCGCTTCCATGGGGCCCGCCGCATGTTGTACAAGTTGCGGTAGATACAACAGCTCTAAACACAGAGGATTTGAGCACAACCCAGGGAAGGGTTTCTAGTCCCGCTGAGACTGAGGACACTCAGAAATTTATTCGAGACCATATTATTGGTGTCGACCATACGATCCCGACCTCCACTATTACCTGTATCAAAAGAAATGTTCCTGGTATATATAATCCCTCGAGAAATATTCGTTGAAACTAACGATATTAGATGATATTTTTGTGCTGGATTTCCTCCCAGAACAATACCTTCAGGGAGGACCTGAGAAGAGCGTTGCTATTTTCACTGCTGGTTGGGCGATGAAGTTTGTCCCACTTCTTGGGAAGGCGTTGTCGCAGATGATTTGTAACGGAGAATCCGAGTTTGCCCACAAGGAGTTCTCCATTACTCGCAAGAACCAGATGACCGGAAAGGATATCATCGTGAAGGAAGATAAGGAGGATGTTGTGGTGAAGAACTCGATGACTAAATATTAATCGACGGGCGAACGATATACTTCATAAAACCACTTGCATTCTGGCAATTGCAACTAAATGAAGTAGGCCCTTACGCCTGGTGCTAGTTCAACTGATAGCTTGATGTAACCATTTGCTCTTGATAGCTTCATGGTGTAAAGGCTGTTTGCGTCCAAGAATTTCAATAATTATATAGATAGTTAGACCGAGGAGGACGTGTTAAATTCACGCTGTTATAAATCATTATCAGTGGCCACACTAGTCAAGTGCGCATTCCCTTTTACCTCAGTTGGTAATGCCTCGAAACCGTGGATTATCGAGTTCTTTGCCAATCAAATGCCAAGAACACGAGCAGGCAGGGGAGAGCGGCTTGAGACACGCATGTATATGTTTCATAATGATGCAGATTAGGTCTGTGAAATGACACGCTTCCTCACACGTCCAGGACTGGGACGCTGTAACAGGCGCTCATGATATTTTACCCATTGTCGCTTTACTCCGCCCTGATTACATGCTGCAGGATACTCAGTAGTTCCCTGCAATTTCTCCTCAAACTTTCCGCAAAGCTGAGGTTGCCTCTTTGGTCTAATAACTTGAAGATTCAACTAAACATGCTTTTATATCCATTCTTCAGGTATTATGGAAGGCTCGAAAAAAAAACCTCCCACAACTCCGTCTGAGTAGCTCGGCCCTACCCAATCGGGCACTCTCCAATGATAAGCCCTCTCCTTCAACACTTTCTAACGAAAGAGGGGTGCTAGACGCCTCACAGTGCTTTTTTCCTATCGAATAGAATAGAATCCGCTACAACAGAAAGCCAGTGCTATCCGTCTAATGCTACCAGCCCCATAAGCACGCCATCAACTCCAAGTCCCAGCCTTCAGCGATCTACAAGCACAGTGCACAGTGCACAGTTTACAACACAGGACAAGACAGAGCATAACAAGCGTACAAGTAGTAGGAGAAGCGGGAGGACGAAGGGGTTACTATTGAATTCTTTAATTCTAGCAAGCCCCATCGTTAGAGGCTTGCTGTCGCTATAGGGTCAGCTATAAGGGAAGAAGCAAGCAAATTAGCGTCTGAGCTGGATAGGTTCATTGCTAAGATAAATAAGATAGGTCTGAATATTGAGAATCCTCTGGAGTGGTGAGTTCGTCATCCATATAACGACTCTATGCTATCCAGGATGGCCTTTAACTTGTTCAATTATCCAGCAATAACTGCTAAGTGTGAGCGTGTCTTTTCACAGACAAAGAAGGTGATGAGGGATGAACGGAACCGGCTCAGTTCGGACACTGTAGCAGCGATTGAATGCCAGAAGCACCTGCTTCGAAGCGGCGTGTTAACGCCTATCTACCACGAGGAGTAGAGAGAGAGAAACAAATACAGACAGTATTCAGTCGAGTAATGTCAACCAACCAAGTAAAGTAAGGCACTCTCGTCGAGTAAACCAAGTCAAGCAAGGGGGTACTGTCAACCAAGCAAAGTAAGGGGTCCAATTTTTGCTTTACTTGGTTGTTGGACACACTGACTATCGTGAAGCTCCTTCTCGATGCGGGAAAGGTCGACGTCAATGCTAGAGATATGAAGTATAGTAAGACACCGCTCTCGTGGGCCGCTGAGCGAGGGCATGAGGCTATCGTCAAGCTGCTTCTCGATACAGGCAAAGTCGACGTCGATACTCAAGATCACAATTGCCATACACCACTCTCATTAGCCGCCAGGCAAGGCAATGAGGCCATCGTCAAGCTGCTTCTCGATACGGGAAAAGTTGACGTCGATGCTCAAGATCGGCATGGTCGGACACCGCTCTCGTTGGCCGCCGAGAAAGGGCATAAGGTTATCGTCAAGCTACTTCTCAAACAGGGGAGGTAATGCTGAAGCGAAAGTAAGTAACAGGGCCGTATGCCTTGGAGGAACGAAAGGTGTACACCGACAGCAGCGGGGTTGCGGGGGGTTGGTGTTGGGGGACTGCTACCCTATAGTACTCGGTTGACACCTCCATGACGCCTTTTTTCACGCGTCATTTGCGTGTCAGTTAGTCAAATTGTCAACAAACAAATGAACTTTTCCTACAAAGCGACAAGCCAATACAAACAATATATTGCCAATATGGCCATACCGATATTGTATTGTGACAATATGGCAATCTGCATATTGTATTAGCACAATATCGTGTAGGGCATATCATATCGTATGTATCGCAGTGTATTGTTTTATTGCCATATTATTAGCAACACTGCTTGGTGCTGCGGTAGCTGGCGCACCTGACTGTGGGGCTGGTGGAGCTGGAGCTTGGGGCGAAACTTCTGGCTCTGAATCCATGTCTATGTTATCCCATTTCGAGTAATCGATAGTCATGGAGAACCGTTTAATGCCACTTCCTGAGGACGATTCAGATTGAACAACGGGGTTTGAGCTGTAAGCCAGAGCCTGTGCGCAGCGTCTCAAACCCCAAAAGGCAAAAAAATGGTCACACGCAGACGCCACCAGCGCCTGTAGTCACCTGCTAAGAGTCTCCCAACCGCCTATAAAGCTCAGTGCGCGGCACCCACGCCCACACTCCCTTCCTCCTTTCCTACCGACGACGCCTACAACTGCCTAACTATGATCCCAAGGCTATTAGGCGATAACTAGCTAGGGCTTCGTCGCCACCTACCTGGAAGACAGTGCTTGTCAGCATCATTCTTTTTTTCACAAGACAAGGGCTTGTGTCAGGCTCTTTATTCTACTTTCACAAGGCAAGCGCCTTGCTTCTCAGACTTGTTCCGAAAGGCATTGGCGGGCCCCGTAGGGGACCGGTCTCCTGTGTCTGTTTCGTTCCTCAAGGCATAGTGGCGCAGTAGCGTTCGATTGGAGTGGTGGCGCAGCGTCTGTGGTGACGGGGATTTGGCGCGCTCGATCGGCGAAGCGAACGTGGCGCGAGGATCTGGCGAAGTTCAGAGGCTCAGGAGTTAGTGGTGCAGGCGTCGAGCACGGATCGTTTAGTGGCCCGAGTTTACGAAAGGAGGGCGCGGAAGAAGGAACCTTTCGTTCCGAAAGGCATTAAGTCCCAATTCGACCCGGCCTTACACAGAAAATGGTGGCAATTAGTCCTCGGTGGCACGGAAGAACGTCCTCTCCTCCCCGGCGTGGACGTCAGTCGTTTCATTTGATGGCTGCCTCCAATCACCGTTTCTACCATTGTGGGGTCTGAAACACGGCCCGTGTCCAAGGTCTGATCACGACCTACTCTCGCCGCGATGCCTGCCTCTGCTGCATCTTATCGCTATGTACCATGTCAACTTCCAACTGGAAGAGCGACCCAACGCCTGCTTTTCGTCCTGCAAAGCCACCAGTTGTGCTGAGCTTCTCCTACTTTGACATTGTCGACAATTAAGTTAACGCCTTTTCCGTGAGTCTCTGTCGTTGTCTCGTAGTTTCTAGCTTCGATGGCAGGCATTTGCTCTCTTCCCTCCTCGCCGCACCCGTGACTGACACCTACTTATTATCATGCCCCGGGAAGAGTCAGTCAGAGTCTCAACTGATGAGATCCGCCGTACACTGGAAGCTCTGGATCGGCGACGCATCCAGAACAGTGCCCGAGAGACGCAGCGGACCTTTCCATCGAATGTTCCGAATTCCTCGACATCTCAGACAGCCGGCCAGCGCCGGCAAGAGCTGGTTAGAGTCCCTCACGAGGAGATCCTCCGCATGTTGCAGCATCTGGACCGCCAGCATGCCGAAGACCGAGCCCGGCAAAGGACTGAAGAGGCCGAACAGATACGGCGACCGACGACTCCCAACCCGTTATACCGCCTTCCACAGACCCTTTCTTCGCCAAAGCGCCCCAGGGCACAGGAAGCGCTTCCGACTCCGCCGGCAACTCAACAAAACCGCTCCCCGAAGAGGCCAGGTGAAATCTCGTAATCACAACCACTGCATCTATAAGTTTGGCCCTGCTGAACTGGATCAGAGGTATCCAATAAAACCTGTTAATCGATATCGCTATTACTAACAGTAGATTAACGGATACCTAGCAAGGCAGTAGCCCCTCGAAATATACTGATAAATTTATTATTATCAGGGGAAACTCCATATTTTATTATTAATATCAGTAGCCCCTTTTTATAAAGAGGATAATATACAGAGGCTCTATATATCTCTTAATAAGCCTTATAATACTTAACCTAGTATATTATATAAGAACTATAGCCTTAATTATATAAGCTCCTATTAATAAATACCTCTTTCTTATCTTACCGCAATCAAAAAATACAAGATCCTTAATCTTCCAGTATATTATATACTCATTCTAATAGTACTATTATATCATGAATCCGATATACTTCTTGTAATATAACTTTAAACTGATTAGCTAAACCTTTTATTAAAGAGAGTATTCCTAGCTTATAAGTTTCGAGTATAGAAAGCGCTATTGTAGTAAATCAGATTGAAGATAGTAAAAACAAGCTATACAGTAGGCGTTATAACTAGGTATAGTAGATAGGATAGTGTAAATATAAAAGAGAGTTGGTAGTAAGTAGTAATAGCTATTAGCAGAGTGGGTTCTTAGACTTAGTTAAATAAGATTAGGCCGGGTCCGGGTAAATTATCTACTAATAGCAGACTTTAAGTAAAGTATAGAGATTAATAATAGCAAAAAAATAGAAGTACAGTAGATAGTATATATAGAATAGCAGATTGCTAAAATATAAAATCTAAATACTAATAATAATACTTACCCTAAAAAATAATACCACTTCTCTATTATTAAGCTATCTAATAAGATAGTTAATATAGACCTCTGATAACAAACTGCATTACCTTAGCTAGTAGTCAGTCCCAATTAACCAGTCCCTCCAACCCTCCATCTTCCAAGTCTCCTATCCTTCAAGCTACCGGGCCGCCGCCAATCCAGTCCCACCCCGCACCCACTGCTAGAATCCATCCATCCCATAATAGGACTACAGTATAGTAGCAACTACAGCTTCACCAGCCCATAGCAAGTAGATTGGTGGATCGAAAAATGCTAGGTAGCCGTGATTCAGTTATATGGATATTCCCTGCTTTCCAAGTAGGCTTCTTCCAGCTCTTAGTCAAAGAGATACTTTTACAATAGTCAAAAAAGAGGTCCTTACTTTTAGTCAAGAGATCTCTGCTCTTTGTCAAATCACCTTGTCCTTACGGAGTAGTCAAAAAGAGATCTGTACTTTTAGTTAAAAAGAGGTCCTTGCTTTTAGTCAAAAGCGGTCCCTACTCTTAGTCAAATCAGATCCTTCCCTTAGTCAAAAAGGATCCTTGCTGGGCAAAAAGTGGACTTGGGCAAGAAGTGGACTAAGTCCGTGAGGGTGTTTGATAAGATCGATGTTCTTCATTATATAGATTTAAATACAACCCCCTCCCAAAGATCCTCGTCGTACATCGCCGTAAACCCCTCCGACGCCACAGACGTCCGATCTTAGCAGGAAAGTTTTCAGTGTATGACCTGGCTTCTCTTCTTATAACCGAGTTTAATGAGCGAAGGCTTCCTTCACCTAGCACCTATATTAGCTAGGATATAGCTATCTTTTCACTGGTACCTTAAGGTAAAGCTGAAAAGATTCATCAGAAACCGACCCAACGAATTGCATTACTCTGCTACCGGCAGTCATCCTTTTAGCTCTGACAGGCTCCCCGGTAGTAGAAACAAGGATCTGTTGCCCGTCATTGCTCATGCTCATGTCCTCAATCAAACACGCTCCGCCGAAAGATGCATGTTGGGGTCCATCGATATAGCTCGTCTGAGGTTGTTTCATCCTCTCAGAACCGCTTCTTGGAGAATTTGGCTTAATCAGTGCTTTAAGGAATTGTTCTTTGTGCAACATCTTACGCTGTCTTGAATCGTGGATGGGCAGGGGCTATTTTCAATACCTTGAAGCTAGCGTGTATTCATTATTGCTGCGTTGCAGTGACTCTTTTAGTGATATAGTGGACTATTTTCAGCATATATCGGATTATTAACTGTTATTTATACTGGCCATCAATACCCAAGTAAGCATCTATAAAGTTGGGCATTAGCTGGGTCGAAGAGAACACGGGACGCAAGCACAACTCCAACAAGCCATATCTCACCAAAATGCGTTGACTAACATGGCATATATCACCCCAAGAGTCCAGTTGGGTATGATAGCAACCTTTTTAGGACGGCCGTCAAACAAGGCGTTAATAAAGTCGGTAGGGTATACGAGTCAATTTGCGGGTCTAAGAGCACCTATAAGTGCCAGCCCCGAAGAAATAGTAAAGGTCAAAGCTAATCTGGAATTGATTTAACTTATAGAACTCTGCGATATACTTAGTATAGAAGTAAGAAAGGAGTCGGATACTATTAAAAAGAAAGAAAGCCTAGGCACTAAGCTTTTTAATATATATAACTAGGCTAAAAATAAAATAAGCTTAATATAGATATAGTTTAAGAGGCTAGTTTAGAAAATTATAAGATAAAACTTTTTTAATATAATTAATATATTAGAGATTAACTCTTAATTAAATAAAGAGGAGTTTCTTAATTTAAATAAAGAAAGATAGAAATCTAAAACTTCTAATAATCTTAATAAATAGAAGATAGTAGCTAATTTAATATATACAAGCCTATTAAATATTAATAATAAGATAAGATTCTTATAATAGCTCTTTACTACTTATATACTACTAGTACTGAAATGGAAGGTGGGACCTCGGCTAATCTAATAAAAAATTATAAAGCTAATTAATATACTAATAGAATACATATAGAACTACTATACTTAATATTTTTATGGCCTAGTAAAACCTTATGAAATTCGGTATTATAAATACCGCAATAAATATAGATTACAAAACTATATAGAGTTATACTATATTAATAAGATTAGCTCCGGCCTAACTATTTATCTATATCCAGATTGCTAGACTAAAGTATGTAAAGATAGTATAAAGAACTATATCACCAGATATCATAATTATAATATTTTCAATAGGTATAAGAAAGAAGCAAAACCAAAGGCAACCGCAGCCCAGAGGAGGACTGGGGCATGGAGGCAGAGCGAAACAACTGTATAGCATGCATTTGAAACACTCACTGCACAGCGCGCACCTCGGGCGTTATTTGGCTTAAAAGGTTGTAAACCTATCGCTAGCCTGAGGGTTGGCTGATAGATGTTCATAATTTGCGGTTGTAAGAGTAAAAGAATAATATATTACATGAACTCAATCTCTGTCTTGTATCTTCATGCTTTATATCTGTGATAGAGATGTAGCTAGAAGCTAGATTACACTGTCACACCCGGCAACTGTTGAGACCGCGGCCCCGTCTCGAAGACTCGGCTCTATAGCAGGCGGGTCTCGAAGACCCGGATCCAAGGGATCCGGTCTTAAAGGAAACCTTATCATAACTCCTGTGACGATAAGAGCATCCTTACAAATAGAGCTGCTGCAAGCCCTCAGTTAGATAGAAATCAAGAGCTTCTATTCACATCACAATGCACCCATCCTATCTGATGCAACATACACTCTTTGGAGCTGACACTGTCTTCATGCCTGCAGAGCCCTCACCGGCGCCCCTTGATGACTTCGAGCTCCCAATGATGAGCGTCAATGGCACTCTCACTTTCAAAATCAATCCAACCAAGTCTCATGGTATGTCTATCTAGCACTCTCATATCTCCTAGACCTGTGAAACCAGCCCCGCATACGACCACCGTATCGCGAGCTTTGCTTGGAGGAAGTGACGCAAGACTCTTGAGGTGAGTCTCGAGTTTAGCCGCAGAGGTCAAAGAATCGATGTCAAACGCATATTGCTGAAGTCCAGCGACGCTCTGGGTCTGGCGACAGAACTTCCAGCTGCTAGGATAAGGCGGTCGAAACCAATGTCGGATTCGTCGCCCGAAACGGATCGAGCGTGAATAGCATGCGATTCAGTGTCGATGGCTTCGGCGGTGCCCTGGAAAAAGTGTATACTGGCAGATTTGAAGAGAGGTCCAAGTGGATGAGTCATACCTGAGGCGTTGGCTTCGTAGAGTCGTGGACGGATGACCAACAATAGTTCAGGGGCAATGATGAGGATCTGGATCTCTTGCTCTTTGTTCTTGAGGTTGATGAGACGCTTGGCTGAGAGAGCACTCCAGACCCCGGCGAAACCGGCGCCTATGATGACGATCTTGCCGGGCATTTTCTTTTTCAAGAGTTTTTGGAATAATGTAGAATGGTGCAATCGTGTCTGACTGGTGAGGTAGAGGTGATAGAAATGCGTGTAGATTGGATAGGATGCTTTCGATGACTTGGTCGTACGGCCTTTTTGAGTCTTGGTAACATCTTCTCGCGGACTCTTTATACCAACCATGATATCTAAGCCGGATTCCCGGCATGGGTCCACTTCTGTGGTCAACCGAAAGCCTCACTACACCTTCATCCCCTAATAGTCACAGTTCCCCCAAAATCTACACTCATTGTCACAGTCCGTGAGGTCTTTCATTGGTTCGGAAACGTAATTATAGTCGAAGTGATGGTGACTATAAGAATAGTCTGAAGTCTCATCACCATCATTTACCTAAGACTGGTGGTTTTTTTCGTCCTGCCACCATCAATCAGCCATGATGTTTCGCATTCATATACAGGTGTCGTAGTTACTCCTTCGGCATAAAATTTATTAGTCCCATAGATATTTTGATCGCTCGTATCCTGTTGCAACGCCTCATCCCTGCGCCGACATTGCTCAAGGAGCTCCTTGCTAGGACCGGCCTGCAACACACAAGTAATGTTGTCCCTGAACTTGTACTGCCAACGTACCGTACGGCCACACTCAAGGACTTTACCGATAATCTCCTGAAGCCTGACTCGCCCAGGGCGTTTCTGGTTTGCGAAGGTATCCGTGTTGTGCATTGCCCGGACCACCAAATCTTCAACTTCCGCGAGGTCGACAGAGTCACTGTCAGCCATTTCAAAACACTCAGTAATAAGGATGATAATATTTGAGCTGGTCAACTCGGCCCACCAGAGATCCTCGAATTCAAGGCCAAGGCCTAGCTTTTCGTTAATCCAATCAAGGGACAGCAGAGATAAGAGTGGGTTCGAACGGCTTATTCTGACTGTCGGAAGTAGAAACTGAAGGACCGTCTTTAAGGCTGCGGTATTTGGCTGAGCAGCGAGTTGCTTGCCTGCATGGGAAGGGCGGCGTTTTCTTTCTTCGGCCATTGCGGATTTACTACTCTCCTGAAGAGTCTTTAGGAAGTTTTTGCGTTGTACGACGGAAGATAAAGGTCCCCATCTATTCTCTCTTTCCTTCACTTCATCTCCCTTGAAAGACTCAGTCTCAGCACCCCGTTGTCGAAACGCGAGGTCAATCTCTTTAGATGGCTGTGCAAGGTTGACCAGCCGGTGATGCGCGTTGGTGGGGTTCTTCTGATACAAGTTGACTTCATAAAATTTATTATGAACTTCACACTTGAAGTTCATGTACCTGTGGGTAATCAATTAGTTGATACCGGTGCTTTGCTTAAGGATTTGGGGTCAAATACGCGTTCAGTTTCTCGAAATTCGCCCTTAGAAGATCGTTTTCAGTAGCTTCCATATACTTAAGTCCATTGGTAGTTGGAACGAAGTATCTGATCACCTCTTGCAGCCCATTGTTGACCTGTCTCACGAACTGAACAGCGTACGGTGCGCTGCTGACAAGCGAGAAGCCGTCGTCCAGTACTAGACATGACGTACGGTGGCGGGCCCAATTCAGAAATGCCGTGAATTTAGGCGCATGGTCAAGCAACTCGGGACGATAAGGCTTTATGTCCGGGCAGCAAAAGATACCAAACATAGTGTTAACCCACAAATGGTGCCAAATGATGACTTAAGTTGTCGATATTGGTTGTGAGGTAAAAAGGGACGAAAGCCAGGCGTCTATAAGATAGATGGTCGCAATTTTGGCCAACTGGCCCCGCTTGAAGACCGAGATGCGGAGAACTTATCAACAATGCCTCTCTTGCCACCTCGCATGTTAAATGGGGCTTCCTGTGCACGCAGATTTTAGCACATGAGACACGTGGGATATCGGTTCTCAGCCCACTCCTTGAATGTGCGAGTCAGCTCGTAGAAGAAGACCAATTGAACTGCGCTGATAGCACACAGGGGGCCTATGGTGCCCCGTGGGGAGGGACTATATTGAAACGCTTGACGTCATTCTTACATCCATGCCACCCAAGACACTCGCGCACACTGGCTGCTGCATAAATCACATGTTCTTCAACCCCACTCTGGATTTACCATGTCTTTCTGATGCCTTCTGCCACGAATCAAAACCCAACCATGTTCGATCTGCCCGTGTATGAGGCAGAGAGCCCTCGAGGGACTTCCCACTGGACCGATGAGACCATATCCACCCGACGCCATCACGCGGTCCCAAAACACGCGAGCAACGTGACGCGTCCGCCTAACTACCTGCTTCCTGCACTCAAACAACTTAATGGCTGAATTGCTGGACTCTTGGAAATATCGTGCGCTGTCCGGTCACCAAAAATTTGTTTTATCGTTCTTGATTCCACTGATCGATTAGATACGCGAGATGTATACTGAGTAGTTACGGGGTCAATGTAGTAGATCATGAAGCAAAATTGATGATTCTTCTTGATTCTCTCCTCCTTTTGCTTTGCACGGCCGGAAGTGTGTCTCTTATCCTAACCCCGCAACGCGGTGCTCATTAGATGCATATGTTTTTCGTACATGCATGGCTGCATATCTAACAGCTGTTCGCTGGACCCCGTTATCTGGACATGGTCGTTGTTGGAATGAGACCTCGTGTGGCGGCATAACATGCCTGATCCAGAACGCCGGATGCGGAACGCCGTCACTTCTACTACCGTAAAAACTCTGTCAACTCGCGCAGCCTAGCGTCTCCGTTTTTCCACTGTTAACCGCGAAAACGTCACAAACAGCCTAGTGTATTGGTTCTCCTTCTTTTTATGGAGAAGCTAGGCTGCGCGAGTTGATAGAGTTTTTACGGTATTGCATACAGCAAATTGCGTATCCAACACATTGTTAACCCGTTCTCGTTTTGCATTGTCGACTCTCCCCCTTTTCAGTATGCAACAAGTCCATCGCTTGATCTATGGTTATGGACATGTCGACTTGCGTTTTCCTTATATTTTATTTCCCATCGGTCGGTGCCTACCTTAATCTCTACGGCATTAAACGAAAAAGGACAACCTATCTTCCCTGCGCGACCTACATGGTTACATTGCTAAAGAAGCCTCCCTCTTCTTTACAACTGGGTCGTCTGTAACTCTCGAGTCTTTTTGGCTTTGAGAAGATTAAGTGGTGCCTTCTGGGGGTAGCTTCAGTCACATTCGGCTGACAGAGCAGATGCATCTCGTTTGTCTGGTTCGGACTCCTTTCAACTTGTTGTTAGCCACGTGACTGCTTGGATGAAGAATCTGCAGACGGTAGTTGCAGCCTGACTAGGTTGACAACATGTCCGCCACTGTCCGCCCTAGCGCCTGATTCCGCCGTTCTCGAATGGACACTTGACATGTATTTGTGACAAAGGAGAAGGTTTAGCGGGCTCAGAAGCCACTGGCGAGCTAGTCAGCCACGCTAACTCGCTCCCCTACCAGTAATGCCAAATTGGAGGGAGGGGAAGCCACTTTTAAAACCGGATATCGAAGTTATTAAAAATTTAAAATAAAGAAAGTATATATAATATTAAAGTAAAGTTATTACTTATTTCTAAGTTATACTTGTTAAAGTCCAATAAATATATAAATCTATAATTATATAACTTCTAATAATTAAAATACAAGCTTAAATATAAGCTTAAATATTCTAGGAAAAATCTTATAATATAATACTAAAATACAGTACTAATAACACTATTTATACTGTATGACTAATTTATCCGAATCGGCTTATTAATCTATCCGAGCTTAGAAATTAAGTATTTTAATTTATAAGCATAAGCTTTTAATTCCTCCGTGATTTGAAATCAAGATTACTTGGCTATTAGGGAACATAGGAAGACATATCTAATACCATCTTAAAGCTGAATTTCTAGGCTTTCTAATGGTATTATTTTTATCCTAATACCTATATATTTGCCGGCTAAATTTGTCTATAAAAAAAGGGCTTCTCTTAGGGAATATTTCTTCTCTTTTTATCTATATACACTATTAATATATACTATATTATACTATCTTATATACTATTATCCCTTATCCTTATCTTATCTCTTATCTCTATATCCTTTATAAGAATATCCCTTTATCTATAATTAATTCTATTCTTCCACTGTCTTATAACCTCTAACATTTATTAAGTATATTATAGCTATATTTTAAGTTAAGAGTATATATATACTAATAAAATTCTATTTTAATAAATCTATAGTAAATTATTTTAAAGCTTAAAGAATAATAAAGTATATACTACTTAATTAATTATTAAAGTTAAAATTAAATTAAGTTTAATAGTAAATTTAAGTTCTTATTAAATTTTTAAAGCTACTATTTTAGCAGCAGGAAGGGACGGAAAACAACACCCAACTCATTAACCTTCCCTAGGGGAAATGCACAGAGAGTCGTCGCACAGGCATCTTGGCCGGTCAGCCCGAAGCTGCACCAGATTACGCGTATGAGGTCGGATCAACCTGAGGCTTATGTCTCCTGATAGGGAAGCATCTCATGAGATTGTATATCGGGTCGGTCGCAGGAAAGTTCGCTGGCAAGGCATCAATGGGGCCTGCGGCAGACCGATATCTGAGGGAGGTTGAAGACGGAGGTTGGACAGGGAACGTAGTGATGGCAAGAAGGCTCAAATAAATCTCTCAAAAATGAAGGCAATCAATTAATAGACTCCCTAGCAGCCTCGAGCCCTTCCGGCCTCTCTGACTTCTAGGAAGAATCTCTGATGAAAGGAAAAACGATGATTTCCCCCAGTGACGGCACTGACCTCCCCTTTTAACCCCATCCGGGTCACCCTAGAGACATCCCCGCTAGCGACCAGCTAGCCCAAGTGTCCCTAACCGCCTGTCACAAAGACCCCAAAGATAGTACTTAAGGCCAGTTTGCAGTCTAAATATCTTAAAAGATAAGTAAGAAGGCATTAAAGTAGCTCTCTAGCATCTATTCTTAAGGTACTTAAGTTATTTTCTAAGAGAATAAAGGCAATAATATATTAAATAGTATTATTAAAGTCTAAGAACCAGATCCTTTAATAGGTAAATAAGACTCTTAGCAAGCAGCGCAGAGCAAAAAGAACCCGCCTACAGAATAGAGGGAAAATAACTATAGATAAGAGAAGGGATAAGATAGATCAGAGAGATATCGATGCACAAGTAGCAGCTAAATCGTCGAGAAGTAGTAGTCGAGCAAGGTCGGTGATGCCAAGGGAAAGGCGCTGTGGAACTTGTAGAAAGGCCGGTTATAATATAAGAACCTGTCAGGCTGTTATTGAGACCTCTGGAGAAGAGTATAGCAATTAGTTTTAATTGATTTAAGGTGTTATTGTATTTTTATTGAAGTTTTAATTTTGAAGATTAGGATTTTTATTATGCAAGCTTGTTTGTTATACAAGCTTATTATGTATGTTATATTTATTTAGTCTTTAATAATAATAATGTATAAAAGTTCAGAATTTACTAGAGAGTTTCTAGCTTTTTATAAATAATTTCTCAAAATCTAGCTATTATAGCTAGATAATAAGTATATTATTAAAAAGCTTAAAAAAGCGGCTTTTTAGTGGTATTATTATTGTTATTAATATCTAGAGGATTCTGAGTAATTCTGCTTTAAAATTAAGTTTTTACTTTAAAATTAAAGATAGTTTAATTTGAAATTATTAAAGATATAGAGATATATTATATACTATAAAAAAGCTTAAAAAAGCAGCCTTTTTCTAGTATAATTTTTATACCTAAAATACTTATTCTTTCTGAAGTATCTAGATTATAAGTTAAAATAATTTAGAATTAAAAATAATTCTAAATATAAGTAGGGCTATTATCTTTTCTATACAGTATAAATAGTATAATTAATATTGTATTTATATTATATTTTAGTGCTATTTATACTGTATAAATAGTGCTATTAAGACTGTATTATATTTATTTATAGAATTAATTAAGATTTAATTCTTAAGGTTAAAAATATATATTTATATATTTATTTAGTTTTTAATAAGTTTTAAATATAACTTTAAGATATAATATAAAGAGATTTAATATAGATACCTTAAACTAGTAATATTAAAATATAAAGGCTTTTTTAACTATTTTTAAGAATTTCTATAATTTCTTATTAAATTAATATATTCTCTCTCTAGCTAAATAATTTAGAAGTAGTAATATATTATAAATTTTATTATTTTCTTTTAAAGTAGTAGATATATAACTAATTATACTATCTATATTAGATGGATAATTCTAGTTATTATTTTAAAAGATATTATAATTCTAATTTTATATAGAGTTACCGACTATAGAAGGGTTAGAATTATCTGAATCTTTAGAACTGCTTGATAGTAGTATAGCAAAGCTGTCTAGGGCTATACAAGAACCCGGTATTTCAAGTTCCGCTGACGAGGTAGCTGGAGTATCCCTTTAACAGTCCTAAGGCAACACTTTGGCTTGGCGCCCCATATCACCCTAGCTTTAGCCGAGGTACCTAGAGTGACGAAGAGTGTGGTTAGAATCAACCCCACCTAATTCCTCATACAACTTATTCTCTGTATCCTTATGGATTCCCAACTCCCCCCTAGCTAAGCAGTTAATGCATACGATGACAATAGCTTCATTCGCGTTGATAACAGCAGCCGCCGCGAGCAGCCGGCTGATAATACGTGCCGGCCAATTGAAAATCCGGTCCCGGATCGCGGTTACAACTTCGAGCCGATGGACCTTCCAAGCCGGGCCTCTGCGATAATGACCCTGCCCCAGCAGCCGCTGCTGCTATTCCAGGAATTCCTACCTATTTCCCTAGTGGAAAGATGGGTCAGCTTTACCAATAGCTGGGTCAGTCACCTGTTGCGGCAGCATGAAGCTGGAAGCCGCCGGCTGCGGCCACAAGCTCGGCTGTTGACTTGGAAGCCGACCTCTGTTGCTGAAATCTATATATGGATCGCGATCCTAATTTATATGCAAATTCATATAGAGCCACGGATTGAGGACTATTGGAAGGTTTCTAAGCCGCAGGAAAACATCCCCTCCTATCCAGTGACCCGATGGATGCCTTATTATCGGTTCTATTTACTATCACGGTATATCCGTCTCTTTGACTTCATGACTGTTGATCAGGGCCCTGATGTCAGCTTCCTAGGCCGGACCTACAGCCGGGTCAACGCCTGGTCTGACCACATACAGCATGCGTCTACTATCTTCCTTATTCCGGGCACATCTATCGCTGTAGATGAGTGTATGGTCCGCTTCCTTGGCCGGTCCCTTGATACAACAACCGTCCCTAATAAGCCGATACCAACGGGCTTCAAAGTCTGGGCTGTGGCCCAACAGGGCTATTTCCTACGGTGGATTTGGCACAGGCCGGGCCGGAAGTTCGGGCCCGTAGGGATCCGGCCGGCTCGACGGCTCCGGCAAGGGTCACAGCTACGGGAGAGCCGGCAGCGGATACGAGAGAGGATGATCTATCTGAACCCGACCCAAGCCGTGGTTGTTGCCCTAGTAAATCTGCTGCCGGCTTCCACATATCACGTCTTTCTTGATAACCTATTCTCTTCCGGTAATCTCTTTCGCCGGCTTCGTCAGCTAGGTCACGGGGCCACAGGCACAGCCCGCCGTAACTGTGGTCTTCACACATCCCTCGTTAAGCTCAAAGCTTCCGATAACACTGCCGCCGGCAGCCTCGAATTCAACGCCCTCAAGGCTGTCCCTACAGTAGATAATCAGGTCAGTCATAAGGACGGAATTCTGCTGTATTTCCCTTACTAATTTGTCTGCCGCTAGGTCAATCAGATCGTGTGGAAAGACAACGCCCTCGTGCTATTCTTATCAACCGCGTTTACGGGCAACGAAAGAAGCGACTGTAAGAGGAAGAGACCGACAGGGGACCAAATGCAGTCACGGCCGATACAGCGTTTCTTTGGTGATGACCACGTTAAGCTGATTTCTATCCCGTCTATCGCAGCTGCTTACAATCTTGAGATGAACGCAGTAGACCGCGGTGACCAGCTACGGTCTTATTGGGGCCCTAACCGCCGTGTGCGTAGGGGCGGCTGGAAGGCCCTTGCTTGGGACTTTCTATTAGAAATAGCCCTCATCAACAGCTTCCTTTTACAGCTAAAAGGGCTGCCACAGTGGAAGCCGGAGTTATCGCAGAAGAGTTGGCGGTAACGCCTTGTTGATGACCTTATTGCAGCGTATGCAACCCAAAGTTAGGCGCGACAGCGGTTTCGAACGGGAGACGAATTTACGCCTGTATCACAGCACAATTGGGTCCGAAATAAGAATCCGTCGGCATGCCGGGCTTGTAAGAACGTACGGCTAGGCGAGGGTCGGTCGCGGCAGCCGTTGCAAGCAGTCAGCGGCAACAGCCGCCCGAATGTGCGGAAATCACGGTATCGGTGTAAGCAATGTGATGTAGCTCTATGTAGATCGGGGAATTGCTGGGACTTCTATCACCACCTAAAATAGGTGGGGGCCGAAGTACCGTTCATTTGCATTACTCTCGTTGGCCCGCACCCCTGCCACTAGCGTATGTGTTGCCTTAGGACTGTCAAAGGGATAAGGGACGTGCTGGTAAAACTCCGTATAAAGGTTCGAGGTTATATCTTTTTGTTATAATCGGCGGTGGTAATATATTCTCGAGTATATGCGTTACGCCGCTACTAGGGGGGTCTCGTTATTGCATTACAGCTCAACCCCCCATTCGTCCCTCACGGGGGTCGTTGACTAGCCAAAAGTCCGTTGACTCACCAAATACCTAAAAGCTTGGTAGAGACTCTAGTAAAATGATGTACCTCACTAACAAAAGGAAAATTGGGACCTACTCCAACAACCGCTCTCCAAAAAATACAGCACAAACACTGAGTTTTTAGTGTAAGCCAATGTACCTAAATTTGGTCAGTCAACGGACTTTTGGCTAGTCAACGACCCCCCCGTGAGGGACGAACGGGGGGTGGAGCTGTGCTGGGACCGAGACCCCCCTAGTAGTCTTTTTTAATTACTTTAAGCTTTATAAAGCCTATATTTATTCTATAAAGGTATTTAATTATTATTACTTCTTTTAATTAGTATTAAACTTTTAATACTTTTAAATAAGAGTATAATTCCTTTTAACTTCTTAACCTTCCTTTCTTATTATCTTTTAAATTATTAATTATTAATTTCTATAGTAAGTTACTTTTGAAAGGGCCCTCCATACTCTGTACGCAAAATGTAGTAGCCCTTATTTATAGCCTGAGAAGTGCATATTACTATGGGCAGCTCCTCAGCTATCAATACAACTTGACTACCTCAATCACTCTTGACTGCTACGCATTACCATTGATTGACTAATGAACTGCTAACTGAATCGGCAGATTGATGATCTAAATAAAGACACCGGCAATGGCTGGCGCTCTGCTGCTCAGCGTACGGCACAGCAGCTGCACACTTGTAGTGCCGCTGTGGAGCCCAGTCAAGCTCGCACTCCTGCTCTAGCTCCCCGTGGTAAAGCTGGTGAAATGACTCTCGAGGAGCGAAAAGTTGCGGTGTTGGAGGCCATCACCGAGGCTGCTCGGCTCTGGACTGTAAGTGGGTTAACCCGTAGCAATATTTCCACTGCTGTTACTGCTATTATCTGCTGCGTCTAAATTCAATGAGTTGTTTGTAAAAGTACATGACTCAGTGTACTGTGGGGCGTGCTTTTTGGGGCTTTGCAACAGTGACCTCTAGGCTGCCGTAGAGGTCCATGCAGCAACATCGACATTAACTCGGTTGCTTACGGCTGATCACACCACCATCGTCATATTACCAATGGCATGCTAGCCTACGTACAACTTGCTTTCGCCACCGACGCGTGTATGGCGCGTAGCTAGTTCGTTTGATTTCCAGCGCTCCATTTCCCCGCATTAGCTAGGATATTAGTGCTTTCTAGGTTGGGGATGTTGTCATGTATTCCGACTATTGACGAGCTTAGGTAGGCGGATGAGTGCCAGTATATTTACCGGCACCGAACGCCGAACATGTGATTGGTTATGCGATAGTATACGTATACTGGGATAGAAACATGATTATGTCTGATTTGGCTTTTTGTTCGAGCTTCCTTGTCGATTACTACGGACAGTTGCTTCCACAACAACACTGGCGGGATTGAGATGGAAATTGGTGAAGGCCTTCGGGTCGTCGACGGTAAATATCAAAAGCGCCGAACCGACAAACCGGTAAGCTTGCAACCAAACATGAACAGCAAACAGAATAAGACAACGCTCCTCTCATTACCCCTCGACATCCGGCTTCAGATCTACCGCTGGCTTCACCTTATAAGTCCCCTTCGTCAGCTCCCACTCGCACCAGGGTGTCCAACGCCCATCCATTGCCAATACATACTCCGGCGCGTCGGCCACGATGCCGACTTCCCTCCCGACTACGACACATCACCTGGCACCGCAAGCTTACTCTCGTCGTATAGACCGCTCTCCATCCTCCCAACAAGCCTTCTACAAACGAATTCACAGATCTACCACGAAGCACGTCTTATTCCCTTCACGTATAACGAATTCGTCTTTGTTAACTGGTTCGCATCCGGACTCTGGGCTGCTAGGGCATTCACTCGCGCTTTAGCACCCTGGCAGCGTTCCGCGCTACGCTTCGTGAGGCTAGAAGTTCTGGCACGGGACGTCCTCGATGGTGCTGGACGTGAAGAATGGCGCGCTTTGTGTAAAGATTGGGCTGCTGGCGTGCGAGGGTTGCGGATGAAGATGGTGCTAGGTTCAAACACCGTATCTACGATTCCAACGACATCCGGAACGTCAGACTTGGGGTCTGGAGGAGTGGGGCCGCGAGCGGAGGAGACGCGGCGGTGGGTTGGGGAGGGACTCGAGATAATGGAGGGGGTGGAGAGGGTGGAGATGGAAGTTGTGGCGCGGGAGATGGTAGATGAGGACAAGGTGAGGTGGTGTGAGATGTTAGAGGAAGAGCTGAGAGGGAAAGGGTTGGAAAAGGTGAAGGTTGTGTGTGTGGAAGAGGTACAGGAGAAGGTGGAGTTGACTAAGGGTAATGTTTGGTGGAAGGCATTAGTTATCAATTGGGGACAGAATGGGACTGGATAGCTAATTTAGTAACAATTTCTTTCAGATGCCAGTTGTGCCAACGATAGATAACCTAGTAAGAAACCAACATAAATTAGCCCTAACTAGTGTCTGAAATCGTTGGTGGAAGAAGCCATATACAGAGAAAACTAAGTTCACGGGCGATACAGCGTTTCTCTGGTGACGGGCCTATTAAGCTGATTTCTATGCCAAAAGTTGTAGATGTTTATAGCGACGAGATGAACGCCATAGATCAAGACGATCAAACAAAGGTATCCCGACCCTGACTCGCCCACAGAGTCACGGCGCTGTGGCGTTGCATGTCTCTCTCTCACTCGCCCCCTCTCTCTGGTGTATGTGTGTTCTTAGGCTTCAGGATAGTAATCCAAATAAGGTTTGCTGATCATCGTGGCGAGAAAGTGAAAGGCTGAAAAGAGGCCAAACCCAAAGAACTAAGATGTGCCGGGAGCGCCGCTCTCACATGCTTGAGCGTGCCTTGGGTGGTCTGATGCATCGTTAGAGAGAGCTTGTTGGAGGTGGACACCAGTCGGAAGGTCCGGTCCGTTGCCTTGGCGCAACCAACACTACTAGCCTAAGCTTAGTTGGGGTAATTGTGGACTAGCCGAAGAGATTGGCGACAAAGGTCGCACGATTCCACCCCTGTCATGACGTCGCATTTACTTCATTCTCTTGTCGTGGTAATTCATATCAGCCAGTCTCGTGCTTCCAGACTCTTGTCATCTAACTCACTCATAACCCTTGCCACTTTTCCCACAGTTTCTTGTAGGCACCTTCACCGGCAAAAATTGCTAGAAAACTGAACCTTTCAAAACCAGGTACCGTCAGGGGTTAACTCAAAAATGTCCGAGCTACCTCAGGTACTTCAACGGGAAGAGCCCAGACCTCGACCCCACCAAACTCAGGCTCAGGACGGCCAGCACCGAAACCTAGACCAGAGCCAGGCTCATGGCCAAGCCCAAGATTCGCAAAGGAGGACCCTGCACCAGCCGGGGCAGCCGCACGCTCAGAGTGACGGGCTGCAGCTGCACGACTATCCCACTGACCTGCATCACCGCCCAGGAGCTCTTTCCAGTTCTGCTCCTCCTTCTATTCCGGCTTCACCTGCTCCTCCAGCCCTGACAATTGCTCCATCTCAACCTGATCCCCAGGAAAATCCCCCCAATTCCTCGTCTTGCTCGACTCACGCTCATCCCGCTACCGACCCTCACTCTCAGTCCCATTCTGTCAGCTACTCAAGCTGTCACCCAGACTCGTTGAGACCCGCCAGCGAGTACTCCACACCTCAGTGTAAACCATGCCGGCCGAAGAGCCTTCGTCCCTTCATCCTCTCCGTCATGGCTTTCAAGGAGGGCTGCAAGTTCTCTACGGCCACTTCGATGCACCGCAAGGGGCGGATGAGGACAATTGTGGAGAAAGAAGATCATTTCGGTCAATCTCTCGCGGTACGGGTTCCACTATTGCCAACTCAACCCTCGTCCCCGTGCTAATGCTAACCTTATGCCCCGTACAAGATACTCTATCTCGGCATATCCGCCGTGTTTGCGAATGATCAAACTGCAGTTGTTGCCTTGGCTATCAACGACAGTGTCTACCTGATTGACTTCTCCGTCAAGTATTTTGTGCTTGGCGACGGTCTGAAGATGGGTCAGGATCTTATTGCCGACTACATCCTTGAGGAGGTCGAGAAGTACGAGCACGAGAACTTTGCCAAGTTCATTGGAGCCGGTCTTCCCACTACTCTCAGGGACATGAGCCCCAGTCTGTGTTCTCATTTGTGGCTAGACCTGGATGTTCTCCCGGTCGTGTTGCATCCTGACGGCGAGGAAAGAGAGAAGAGTTTCTGGGACTTCAAGCGCGTTGATGAGCAGGCCGATTCTATGGCCCGCAAGTGCGTCATGTGAGCCTACAAGTTCTGATGGGGACGAGTAACTCGAATTGACATGTTATGCTCAGGAATTTCGGTCCATCGCTTGCCCCTCGTCTGCAAGTTGGCTTCCGAGGTGTTGTCCAGGGTGACGCTGGATTCCGCGCCTGTCTGGCTACCCTTCAGAACTACAAGGACACATGCGGCGCTGCCACCTGGGAGACCATGTTGACCTATGCCAAGAAGCTGCGTCATAATGACATACGCGTTGCCTTCTTCAGCGCCACTCCCCAAGGTGGTGGTGTCGCTCTTATGCGTCACGCACTGGTCCGCTTCGCTCGCCTGACGCGTGTCAATCTGACCTGGTATGGTAAGTACGACTGCTCCGCAGCCAATATCTTGCCAGAGGTTTCGTCTCTAGATTGCTCACACCCAAGGAAGTTCCTAAGCCGCGTCCTGCCGTCTTCAGGATCACCAAGAACATCCACAACGTCCTCCAGGGCGTCAGCCATCCCGGCCAGCGCATCACTGCAGGGGAAAAGGATGCCATCATCGAATGGATTACCGAGAATGCTCACCGATATTGGCTATCTGATGGCGGCCCACTTCGCCCAGCAGAGGAAGGCGGTGCTCACGTCGTCATTGTCAGTATTCTTTCGGATTCTGCTTCAGATTTGGTCTTACATAGCACTGGTGTTGCTTCCTTCCTGCGTTTGACCCTACCAACTCATCAATAGTACTTATTGCCGCAGTTCACACTAACGATATAACAGCTCGATGACCCACAGATGCTAGGCTTAATCCCCCTTATTAAGAAAATTACCCCTGACCGTCCAGTCCTCTACCGTTCCCACATCCAGATCCGAAGTGATCTTATTGCCAAGGCTGGCTCACCCCAAGCTGATGTATGGGACTTTATGTGGAGCAATATCCAACTCGCAGACATGTTCATTAGCCACCCGATCCCCGCCTTTGTCCCTCACACGATCCCGAAGGAGAAGGTCGTCTACTTTCCAGCTACTACCGATTGGCTTGACGGCCTTAACAAGGAGCTGAATGATTGGGACTCTCGTTACTATGGCCATATCTACAACGTTGCTTGCCACTCCCAGCGCATGTGAGTATTTACGCACTTGTCAAACGTGATGATTGAAAGAATCTCTGATTGACTACTGCGAAGGACCGAGTTGAACTGGCCAGCCCGCAAGTATATCATACAGGTGGCCCGCTTTGATCCCTCAAAGGGTATTCCAACTGTCATCGATTCCTATGCCGAGTTCCGCCGACAATGCGACGCCGCCGATCTGATAGATGTCCCTCAGCTCATCGTTTGCGGTAATGGATCGGTCGATGATCCCGATGCTAACATAATCTACGACCAGACAATGAGCCAACTTACGACACACTACCCTTATCTCATGAAGGACATCAGTATCATGCGCCTCGACCCAAATGATCAATTGCTCAACACTCTTATTGCCAAAGCCCATGTTGTCCTTCAGCTCTCAACTCGCGAGGGATTCGAGGTTAAAGTCTCGGAGGCCCTACATGCCGGCCGGCCTGTCATCGCCACCAAGGCTGGCGGTATCCCCCTCCAGGTCAAGGACAAGACGAACGGTTTCCTTGTCAACCCGGGTGATTGGAAGGCTGTTGCTGGTCACCTCATGGACCTCTTCACCAATGGCGACCTGCACAAGAAGATGAGCTATGCCGCCAAGACCGGCGTCTCCGACGAGGTTAGCACTGTCGGCAATGCCCTCGGCTGGTTCTACCTGGCTTCCAAATGGGTCGAGGTCGACATCGAGAAAAGGGGCAAGGGCTGCCTGCAGGGCAACGAGAGATGGGTCAATGACATGGCCCGGGAGGAGGCTGGCTACCCGTATTCCGAAAATGAGAACCGCCTCCCTCGACAGTTCACCGAGAAGAAGGTTCTCACCGTCGTCGACGCTAAGGCTGCCGATCCAGGGCTGGAGGCACCAGTGGCGGAGGTCTAAGAGGGTTTGCTGGTGCTTGAAAGTGACATCAACTGGCTGCTTCTACACTGTACAATCGGCGGCTGCTGTAGATCAAACTGACATATAAGATAGTTAAATATAGTTGCATTGAAAAGAGGTTACGTCGGAATCGTTGCGTGTTAAATAGTAGAGATACATGCACACCATGATTACTAGACTGCCTTTCTACAACATAAATCCATCGTTGGTTCACAAACACCAACACACGATGGCCTTTCCCTTCATAAGTTTTCTTATATAATGCACTATTCGTAATTAACATTTAACAAGCTATTGACAGCTTCGGGAGGAGTAAAAGCAGCTCCATTTGCTAAGCGGTCCGAGGGTAGTTTATGTGATGGAGCCGCCGGTATTTTTATTAGCCCGAGGTCGAACTACTCGCCGGCATTATTTATAATTGACCATCAACTTTGCTGCCGGTTCAACTAATAGCCCGCCATCTTTTCCACCAGTCACTAAAAGTTACAGAGACACTTAGCAAGATTTGAAATCAGAGAGCTGTCAGCTTGGGTAACGGTTCACAATTCCGATATAAGCACCATCTCTCTCTGCCCAGGGAGTCGAGATTACCGGACCACGGCCAGAGCCAAGCCTCTTCAACAACGTCTGTCATTTCATCTAGCAATCAGACACGCAAGGTCAACATCGCTTCGTACTTAGTCACCGGAGCATCACGTGGGCTCGGTGTGAGTTAACCGTTATGTCGGTGGCGGACGGATCGCTGACCCTTCTCGGCTAGTTTGAGTTCCTTCGTCAACTGTCCAACGACCCAGCAAATATCGTCATCGGGCTCGTTCGCGACAAGGAGGGTACCATCAAAAAGGTAGCTGCCGAGCTGGGACGGAACAATATTCATATCCTACAGGCGGATGTAACCGACTACGACGCATTGAAAGTCTGTGGGTCCCATCGTAACTCCAGACTACGCTAACGAGGTTGGCCAGAAAGCGGTCAACGATGTTTCTGAGATAACCAGCGGAAGCCTTGACTTTGTTATTGCGAACGCGGCACTCATTTCTACGTGGTCCGCCTATGACGGTATCAGCACTTTGTAAGCTTCTTTCATCGTCCCGTGTGTAACTAACACGCGAAGAAACTGACATTGTTGGCTCAACAAACAGGGGCAATAACCCCAAGAGACTCGAGCAAGACTTACTCGACTCGTTCATGACCAACGTCGTCGGCAACGTCCACCTTTTCAACTTGGCCCTGCCACTGATCCTCAAGGGCCGTCCTAAGAAGGTTATCACAATATCCTCAGGCATGTCAGATTTAGATTTCATCTCCAAGTCCGGGATCGAGATTGCCGCACCTTACTCCGTCAGCAAGGCGGCTATGAATACGGCTGTAGCGAAGTTTAGCGCACAGCATGCCAAGGATGGTGTCCTTTTCTTCAGCATGTCACCCGGTCTAGTAGACACAGGCCTCTTTAATGACGGTATGAATCTTAGGATACTCGGGTTTTGAGCAGATGGCTGATGTGCAAACAGCAACGGAGGAGCAGAAGAGGAGAGGGATGGGGATGGTTGCCAAAATCGCCAACTATGCGCCACACTTCACCGGCCCGGGCACTGCAGAGTCATCTGTCAAGGACATGCTGTCAGTCATTCAGAGAGCCAGTGTTGAAGCCGGAGATGGTGGGTCCTTCGTTTCTCATTTCGGAAACAAGCAGTGGGTTTGAGCGATTAGCACCTGAATAAGAGACCACACTACACAACGGAATTGCACAAACTAAGTTGTCGGAACTACAAGGCTTCCCAACATCGTTGTGGGCTTCCTTTTCGTAATCACCTATAAATCGCGTTCTTCCAAAAGGATATAGAGGGTGATAATAGAGTGACAGAGATCAGACTTCTGAGCAAACGCAAACGCGGAGAAAGGATGTTTAAGTATTCCTGCAAAGCCCGGGTTCACTTCTCATTCACCAGAATCGCCCAGTCAAGCTTCACTTTTGCCTCGAGGTTAGATGTCTAGTTGTAAGGATTTGACGGGCTTGCGCGGCAACGGCTGGAAGACGGCTTTTAATAATCCAATTCCTCGTTTGGATTACAGTTGTTCCTCCTCCTACCCGCATGTAAGGGTCTCGTGTCGATATCTAGCGGAAAAAAGCTCTTATTAAAGAAAAAGATCAAACATGGGTACAGTATACTAGGTAGTACATAAGACCCTCTGCTACTCCAAAACGCCCCAAAACGTACTCAGGAAGCTCAAGGTCAGGCATTCTTCAGATGAGTGAGAATCAGCCATATTTTTATTCTCTCCCGTACTATAATAGAGAAGAAAAATACTCAACAAAATGCACCATTACCTAAGGCTTTCGCCACTCAACATCGTTGCCCATGCCGCGTATGCAGCCCCTGGTGTACCAGGAGCTACACCCATGTCTTCACTACCACACCATCAATCTGATGTTGGAAAAGTCATCTCATGGGGCCGCCGCAACCTGAGCAGTGAACCTCGGCCAAGAATGTAGACCAAGTTCCTTCCTTCCCCGAGTTTTTAATCTCTACCACGACCGTTCCCTCATCTAACTTCAGCGTCGCCTCGAACGGACTCGGTAGCGCCCTGTAAGGATTAGGTTCCCGCGCTACCGTTTCGGTCTGCTTGTCCTCACGCCCGGGCTCTAGCAACTGTGCTAATGATTGGGATACGATGGCTTCTAAGATATCCATACCCTTTGATATCATAGCAAGTGCCTCCTGGCTATCCGTCTCCGCATCGGAGTAAGTAAGATCGCCCTGGCAATTACTTCCGTCGACTTGTATCTATTTTCCAGGGAGGGTGCCCTTACTGTCCTGTAGTATATTTTAAAGCTGTTTAAGAGTATCCTATATAAGGTACTATTTATAAAACTATATACTGCATATTAAGCAGCTGATTATACGTTGATATAGGTTAGCAGGGAGCTTATATCTATAAATTAGTTAGGCAGACTATATGGATTAGTAGTAAGCTGATATAGTTTGCTTAGAGAGATATACTATAAGTTATTTCTGATAATAGTTAAATCTCTATTATTAAAAGAAATTAGAATTAAACTTATTATCTAAGGATTCTATTTATTACTTTATGAATATAGACCCCTCGATATACAGTATATTAATAATATCTACTAGATTATATTACTAATTTATATTAGAGTATTTATTTTATATTACTTACTGTAGTTAGATACTATAAGCTTATTATAACTATAGTATAGCTGGTATTCTTAAATAGATTTCTTGCTGTTAAATATACCTAGCGGGTGTCCTGGATGCGCTTTCAGTTGCCTAATTGCATTAACTGGTTCCGACGAGTAGGAGCGAACTATTTGTCACACTTGCCAGTTCTGGAACATTCTATCGCGCGTGACTACCTTTCTGCGCGCAATTGGATAAACCTGAGGTCCTACACAAACTGAGGGTTAGCAGCTAGCTTCCCTAAGGGGTGGGTGGCGCTAGCGACTCTTAGCTGTGGAATGGGTAAAAAGTCAAAAAGGATTTAATTAGCTGAGAAATAATTTTTTGTGGGTCCATCCCTCAACTTAGCTATAAATTAATAGGCTCTTACTATAATTTAATTTGCTATTTTTCTCTAAAGCTCTTTAATAATGTATTATTGATATATTATTAATACATTATATCTTATACTAATTTTATTAAAACTCTTAATATATTTTTATTTTTTTAAAATAAATTTAAAAAGCTATTTTCTTTAAAATTATTAATATTCTATTTAAATATATTATTTAAGCTACTTATTATAATAATATATTATTAATAATATACATAATAAGCTTGCATAACAAACAAGCTTACATAACAAAAATCCCTCTACCTACATTATCTCTATTTAATTAATTAATTCTCAACCACAAAATATATCTAACCCTTATATTAAGAGTAGAATCCTTCTTACACTTCAGGCCCTTCAAAATAACCCAAAATTAAAGCTCCAACGCACTATAGAGATCTATAAAGTTAGCTATATAATACTATAGCGCCGGCAGAAGGGGATTCAATTCCAATGCAATTAGATCCTTAAATTATATAAGCTGTTTAATCTAGAAGAGTAGATTATTATTTAATTCATCCTTGACTTGGATTTATAAGGGTTTCTTCTGTAATTATATAATATTAAAGAAATAGCTAACTAACTACTTGCTAATTATAATATATTACCTATTAGTAAGTACTAGACTTTTAATTTTATTAGGTAATAATTAGAACTTAAGATATATTTTTTTTATAAATATAACTATTAAAAAGCTAAATATAAAAATCTAATTATTATTTGTAATTAATTCTAGCTTATAGAGAATATAATTACAAAATATAATATCAACCTAGCCGATATCTATAATTTTAATAAGACTGGTTTTATAATAGATATTATTACAAGTAGAATAGTTATTATAGGTATAAATAGACGTAGAAACCCAAAATCAGTCCAGCCTGGAAACCGGAAATAGATTATAGTTATTCAGGCGATTAATATAGAAGGCTGGGCAATCCAGCTGTTCATCGTAGTTGCAGGCTAATATCACCTTGCTAGCTGGTATCAGGAAAGCAACCTCCCGGGCGATTGGGCTATTGCGACGACTCAAAATAGCTAGACCAACAATAAGATAGGTTTTGAGTAACTCAAGCACTTTAACCGGCATACAAAGGATCGATTGACTAGTTGCTATTATCTTCTAATCCTTAATGGGCACGAAAGTCACCACTCCGTCGACTTTAAGAAATATTATAAAGAGAATAATATTATTACGCTTTATATGCCGCCTTATTCATCTCATCAGCTCCAGCCTCTTGATATCGGATACTATAGGCCGCTTAAAACAGCCTATAGTCGAGAAATTAAGCAATTAATCAGATGCTCTATAACCCACATTACAAAGACCGAGTTCTTCCCAGCCTTCTATACTATCTACGCAGCCGCTATAACAAGGAGTAATATTGAGGGAGGTTTTCGAGGGGCCGGACTTGTTCTCTTAAATCTAGAAAATATTATATTAAAGCTTAATATGCAGCTACAGACTCCAACACCGGCTGCAGAGAAGGTCGGCCTCCTTGATTCTTGGGTCTTGAAGACTCTAAAGATAGTACTTAAGGCCAGTTTGCAGTCTGAATATCTTAAAAGATAAGTAAGAAGATATCAGAGCAGCTCTTTAGTATTTATCCTTAAGATACTTAAGTTATTTTCTAAGGGAATAAAGGCAATAATATATCAAATAATATTATTAAAATCTAAGAACTAGATCCTTTAATAGGTAAATAAGACTCTTAGTAAGCAGTATAGAATAAAAAGGACCCGCCTATAGAATAAAGGGAAGATGACTGTAGATAAGGGAAGGGGTGAGATAGATTAGAGAGATATCGATGTACAGGTAGCAGCTAAATTGTCGAGAAGTGGTGGTCGAGCAAGGTCGGTGATGCCAAGGGAAAGGCGCTATAGAACTTGTAGAAAGGCCGGTCATAATACAAGGACCTATTAGGCTATTATTAAGACCTCTGGAGAAGAGTATAACAATTAGTTTTAATTGATTTAAGGTATTATTGTATTTTTATTGAAGTTTTAATTTTAAAGGTTGGTATTTTTATTACGCAAGCTTGTTTGTCACGCAAGCTTATTATGTACGTTATACTAATAATATATTATAGAAAAATAAAAAAATTCCAATTACAGTAGTATAACTTCTATCTGTAGGTTGCTCCACAAATATAGCCTTCGAGCCAATTAAATCACTATTCGCATCCCACTGCCAAGCTTTTTTCCGCCCCACTTTAAACCCTGCAAAGACGTCAGCCACTGTGTGGCAGCGTCGTGCTGGAAGACGCGGGCTTAGTCAATCAGCACGTGATGTGCCTTTGGGGTCCTACCCTAGAATGTCTTACAATTCGAATCAGGAATGGTCGGGGAGATATGAACTCTTTTGCAAGGCTTCCGAAAAAACCATCACTACCCGTTGGCAGGCGGCTTGCCCCACAATGCCAACGGGTAAGCAACATCTACAAGGAACATCTCATTTCTGCAGGTCCACGAAGCCGTCTCAGCCGGGTCTGAAGGTCGATTCCCTCCCAACATGGCGTCTTCCCACAGGCCCTCATCGGGGCCACACTCTGAAACCATCACCACTTCCTTTCTTCTTTTCAACCTTCATTGTCCTACCTGCATTACTACTATAAAGGAGGCTCTACAAGACTCGTGCGCTGATCATATCAGATGGGTCTCACCGAACGTTGTAACCTCGGTGGTTACTGTGGAACACGATCCAGCCGCGACCATTGGAGAGATGGAGTCTGCCCTGGAGGAAGCCGGCTTTGATGTATGCGGTATAACTACATCCGCTGGCGGTGCTACTGATCTGGACCAACGTGCGCCCACCACAGACGGGGATCCGGGTGAAGGGAGCGCACAAGGTATATCGCGGCCCGTGTCCGCCCTGGTCCGATGGATCAATCCCAAGGCTCCCAGCAAGACTCCCACGACACGAGATCACCAGGCCAAAGTTCATCTTCAGAACTGCGAGAAGTGCCGCACATCCAAGCCTCACGGCGCCGATGAGAAGCGCAGCTTTGAGCCAGCACTCCCTAGTTTAACGGCGTTGGACAAGACTGGTAACCCTGAACAGCCGGCCAAGATGTCTAGCAAATCTTTCATCACAGTGAAAAGCGACGAGGCGCCGCCTAAAGCAAGACGGAGGGCGACTCTCGCCGTTGGAGGTATGACGTGCGCTGTCTGCGTCAATACCATCACGGGTGACCTGAGCAAGCGAGACTGGGTATCCAAAGTCGTCGTCAGCCTCGTTACGAACAGTGCAATTGTCGAGTTCAATGACGAGGACAAGGTCGGCCAAGTCGTCGAAGCTATCGAAGATCTCGGGTATGAGGCGACCGTGGATACTATCGTCAACCTGGACGAGGAAAAGCCTCCTTCTCAGGAGAGAACTGTCGAGATTCTCCTCGAGGGTATATACTGTGAACACTGTCCAGATCGGGTAGCAAGAAGTCTCGCTGGCTTCAGACGTCAACTCGAGATCGTCAGCGAACCAACTGAGCAACGCCCGATCATGAAAGTCAACTATGTTCCGGAAGCCCCCACCTTTACGGTGCGACAGATCCTTGGTGCTATCAGGCAAGTGATCCGGCACTTACTGCCTCTATCTACCACCCTCCGACCCTTGAAGAGCGATCAAAGCAGATCCTGCGCCACCATCAGCTACAACTCCTCTACCGAGTCGTCTTGACTGGCATCATTTGCATCACTGGCGTTGCGGGCAAGTCGATGCTGGACCAGATCGTTAACGTCGTCCGAGAGGGTCAGACGAAGCGTGCGCCTATGGAGCAGATCGCGGATGTGATGACTACCTACTTCGTCCCCGTCATCACTGTCATCGCAATCCTTACCTGGGTTATCTGGATGTCTCTTAGTCTCAGCAACAGGATCCCCTCTGACTGGTTGGATGTGAGCTCGGGAGGCTGGGTGGCATGGTCGCTGCAGTTTGCTACCGCTGTTTTCGTCGTCGCCTGTCCATGTGGCCTGGCCCTTGCAGCTCCTACCGCCATCTTCGTTGGTGGCGGGCTTGCTGCGAAGCATGGCATCCTGGCGAAGGGAAGCGGCGAGGCATTCGAGAAGGCGAGCAAGGTTGACTGCGTCATTTTCGACAAGACGGGCACCCTCACGATGGGAGGCGAGCCCAGCATCACCGACTCTAAGATGTATCCCGATAGCGACGATGTTGATGAAGCTCGCAAGTCCACCTTCCTGGCGGCCCTGAAGGCAGTCGAAGAGAACAGCAGCCACCCAATTGCCAAAGCTATCGTCTCCTTCTGAACAACCAAAACGTCCGAGAGCGCCAACATCGACAGCCTTGAGGAGATCCCCGGCGAAGGCATGAAAGCGACCCACACCGGTTCCACCTCCGAGTCTTCCTTCGAGCTGATTGTCGGCAACGAAGCCCTCATGACCGACTTCTCCGTGCACATCTCCCCCACCGTTGCCGCCCTCCTGCAGGAATGGAAAACAGGAGCGAAATCCATCGCTCTGGCCGCGACTAAGCCCATCTGCTCTTCTGCAGGAGTCCTCACGCCTACATACACCCTCGCCGCGGCGCTTTCCATCTCCGATCCTGTTCGCCCCGAAGCACCCGCCATCATCCGCGCCCTGCACAGCCGCGGCACCGCTGTCTGGCTTCTATCCGGCGACAATCCGACGACAGCCGCCGCCGTCGCCCTTCAGCTGGGCATCAACATCGACAACGTCATTGCCGGCGTGCTCCCCACTCAAAAAGCCGAGAAATCACCTATCTGCAGTCCACCTTAAAGGCATGTATCAGCTCCACCTCCGAATCCACGACCCGCCGCGCCACAATTGCTATGGTTGGCGACGGTATCAACGACGCTCCTGCGCTTACAACTGCCGACGTGGGCGTCGCTATCGGCTCCGGTTCGGACGTGGCCATCAGCAGCGCCGACTTCGTCCTGCTTAACCTGGACCTACACGGCGTCGTTAGCCTGCTGGACCTGTCGCGGGCGGTGTTCCGGCGGATCAAGTTCAATTTCGGGTGGGCGCTTGTGTACAACTGCATCGCGGTCCCCGTGGCGGCGGGGTGTCTGTACCCTATCCTGAGCCATGGCAGCCATGTGCGCCTGGACCCCGTGTGGGCCAGTCTGGCGATGGCGCTTAGTAGTATCTCCGTTGTGACGAGCTCCCTCGTGCTGAGGAGTCGGGTGCCTGGGGTGGGCTTTCGGGTTCGGAGGGTTGAGCGAGGCTTCAGCTAGCTTCGCATTTGCCCGCTTACGTTCTTGCTTGCTTGTTTTCTCGAGTTAATGACTGCTCCCAGTATGGGTGTCCATGGGATATTGAGGGATCAGTATTCGCATGGGAGATCACGCCACTTTTGGCAACCCGTCCGCGGCAATTGCGGTCCACCTCCGCCAGAGGGTCCGGATTAAAAAGAAGAAACAATGTTTCCCACGTCTTGTGAGCCCACTCTCCTCTTCACGTTTTAACGATCTTCTCCAACGTCGGCCCAGGACCGCACCTTCCTTGCCAGAGCCGCAGTTCGCCACCACAAACTACCACACACTACAACAACATCAACAATGGCAACAACAACAACCGGCCCCTAATCGCCAAGGGCAAAGACCCCCTGTCGCCCTGGCAAGGTAAGACCTCCGGGTTTTCGCCTGCCTGGAAGCTGGGTCTCCGGCCCGGAACACGGCGAACTAAATCGGACCCACATCGCCACAAAACTCGGGACTGACCTACACCAGATCCCGCGGGCATCCCAAATCAGAACAGGGTGGCCATCCGCGCCGCCGACCTAACAACCCGCGACCTCCTGGCACAGAGACAAGCCAAATGGGCCACAGACATAGGAGCTACCGCAGTCGAGATTAGCAAAAAATGGTTCACACATGTCGTCCCAGAATGCCCACGGAGACTCACCGACACTCTGTGTACTTCCAGAAGCAGGGTGAAGGTTCAGATGAGGTGCTCACGGAAGGAGCTCCGTGACAGTTCTGCCACCATGAAGACTGTGGGGAAGATGTGTGGGGCCCTGCGGGATATTCCTGGGATGCTTCGGTTGGTCAGACACCCCTGAAGTACCATCATTACTCACGCCATGCGCGATGCGCAGGCGAATGCGGTGCACAGGTCGTGAGAGCAGAGTCCACAACAACGCAAGATACGTACCAGACACTTGCGTCGACACATCCACTGGCAAGTATTGTATGCTAACGCGGAAAATCCTGACCGTATCGCTAAGATTTAGCGTGCTAGGTACTGTACCGGTACCATTCGTCGCGCTGTAGTCTGCTAGCACTGCAATGATTCGGTCTGGATGTCTCTCAAGCACGGTTTTCAGGTCGGTGAGATTGGCGTGGCTTGGCGGTGAGGTCTCGTTCGTTCCTATGCGGAAGATAGCCTGAAGTAGGGACAGCTCCCGCACAAGCCGCGACCTCGGGTGTAGAACTGTGAAGATTGGGTCGAAGACTGCGGCAAGGAAGATAGCATCGATAAGATGAGTGGCAGACACGACCATGATGCAGCCGGGGTGCGGCAGGCGCCAGAGCGGCTGTTGCGCCAGCGACCCGGGCTTTACCCTGTCGATCTGCAGGTCGGTCCACCAGACACCGAGTATGGCCATAAGCGTCCATAGGCAGAGTTTATTGCCGACTGGGCCGGGGTGAACCCATTGCAGCACCAGGAAGTAGGCGGAGAAGGCAATAATAAAGAGTGGTAGGCGAAACAGGAAGAGAGCAGCACAGAATACGAGCGAGGCGTAAGATGGGGAAGGCTCGGACAAGGAGGACGACGCAACGGTGGAGTCAGGGCTGATCCTGCTGCTGCCGGCTTGGTTGACTAGGGGAGTTAGTGTTCGATACGATCGTGCTGCTTGGTGAGAACGACGTCGAGGCATTCCCTGGCAGTGTCGTGTTGGGTGACATGTCGTCGCGTGTGCCAAACTCTTGCGTATAGGGATGTTGTGGAGATGCTTGACGTTGCTGCGGTCGATATTTCCTGCTTAAAGCTGCCTAAAGAGCAGACTTAGAAACGTAACAGCCAAACGGGATGTATGAAATGAGAAAATGACTCGGATCAAAGCTGCCCCAGCTTGTTCTCAAGCCTCTGCTTGCCTTTCTCATCAGCTGTCTGTGAGGTCATGATGATACCCTCCCTCTTGGGTAGACACACGGTGACCGGAGTTGCGCAACCCACAATACGATCGCGAATGTCTTCATGCTAACAGCAAGGCTGGCCCCAGCTAATTTCACATGTTCGAATGACGTATGTGGAATAGCATGGGCAAAGAGAAGGCAGCGAACTTAAGAAGTTATGTGGACCTGACGTAACGGGAAATTCCGCTCACGCAGCCCAACTGGTTAAAAAGAGGTTACCGCGACAGGTGGGTCGTGATAACATTCTTACCACAAATGCTCTACTCCATCACCTAAGCCTAATGGATTACTTTTGAAGTAACCGGCAAAGTTCAGAACCGCTTTATTCAGGTTGCGGTTCTCCTTCACATGCTCGACCCAGTCTGTGGTGAGCCCGTAGCGCATGGCCTCGATCAAGATCTGAACGAGATCGAAACCCCGCGAGAACGTACCTCCATGCCCGTATGTTCATGTGTTACTGGATCTGGCCTTGGGCCATCTCAGCGCTGCCCACTGGTGCTGGCAGAGCAGCCCCATCCCGCCCCGGTCGCGGCCGCTTTGACGGGCCAGGAACTTCGACCTGTAGGTCGTGCTTAGCACCTGCCTCTTCTTGCCCTTGAAGAGGTGGCTGCCAGGATCGGCGGCCTGCTGGTAGTTAGGTGTTTGCTCGCGCGACGATGATAGCCTCTGGTCAATGTCTTGGGGAGGCGTTGCCGCGAGTGTTGAATAGCCAGAGAGCCAATCGTCCCCTGATCAATAGATGCGCCCAAACTCGGCGCACATACTGTCTGGAGAGAAGAGTTCACGGAAAGTTCGCCCCGTTTCGTGAACTCGCTCCCTTAGCCTATCACATTCCTGTTCTGCGGGTCAACAACCAAGGCAGGGAGGGAACTGCAAAGATCCACCCAGTGCCCAAGCCTTACGCAGGCCGAGTGGTGTGTTTGCGAGAGATAAGGGATGCGGTACCGCGGTCGAAATCTCTTATTGAGTCCATGGTGACCACTCGTGCGGGTGTGTGGGTTGCGGGTTAAGGCACGAGTAGACTCCGGTTATGATCCGTGCACCACTCCCCTTGCAGATCACTTGACTTTGCTAATTTGACATCCCATTTTCCCACTGTCATGACAGCCATACGATTGCCGGAAAGTAAATGTGACCCTCTGGTTCGATGGCCGGCGCTAATTCCTCGGCTCCCAGGCTCCTTCAACTCTCGAACGACTGGGGTCAAGCGCAAGCCACAATTTCGTTCGGGAGCATGTTACGTGGGGCAGTCTACCCTATACACGCTAGATAGGGGCTACCGTGCAGGCTGCCTATTTGTAATGATGGGGCTGGTATCTCTTAACTCTACGGCTTAGGTTTCGCCGCTGAGATAACATACTCTTTACCGTCTCTTATGTTGCAAATATTCTTGTTGGAACCAGTCAAAATACCCATTTAAAGCTGTAAAATTAGGTTACCGTTGAACATATAGAAAGCATGCCATTCTGGGCTCTTGTTAGGACCATGGCTTCGGTTGCAAGATACATCCGGCACCGTAGATTATACAGTGCTGTACCTGCTAACACGCCTTAGCACCATATCAGAGCTTCGCGATTTGCACACGGCGCGTCGGATCGCGTGGCGGTTTCTCAGCGCGTCAATTGTCCCTGCAGACGGCCTGGAAAGGCTGCGCTGTCGTGTCCGATAAAATAGAGGCGAAGGACGTTAGCCTCTGGGCGTCAAATATTGCAGTACGCCGCCGCTGAAGGGAGCCATACTATTCCTTCGCTGACAGACTCCAGCAGTCTAGCTTCCCAGCCGCCAAATGATGGATATCGATTCCCAGGACATTTTCTTGGGCCAAGCAGGCTCTGAAACGTCGTTGACCCTACATTCGTCTCCCTGCCCGTCGAGGCTCTCTACTCAGTCCTCATTTTTGTCAGGTTCAACGCCGCAGACGCCGCCGAGGAAGATATTTAACCTGGATGAGAATCCTACGCCTGGCGAGATAGCCACGTCCCGTTCGAGCTCTTCAACGACGAGCTTCGGGCCGGCACGCCTCCGAGGACTAATGGCGCAAAGGTTGCCTGGTGGTGGGTGAAAGGGTTCCGTATGGGTCTGTCTGTGATGTCGGTGCTGGCTTCCCGATCGCTGCATGTCGTTTCCGCCTTTTGGCGTGGTGGGAGGCTGAGTTGGGCGTCTACCGGTTCGCTTTATGTCATTGTTCGAATTTTCCCATGTGATTGAGACTGAACACGACCCATGGTAGTTCACTGTTATGGTCCCGTGCGGGGGAAAAGTCAATTTGAGAGAGACAAAGCGGGGTTTGCAGCTGCAGATCGAGGTTTCTTTCAATGAATAAACGCCTCATTATGAGATTGTGACGACGTTATTAATCATGTCTTGGCGTTGATGAGAAATCTCGACATGGACTATGTCATAACCCTGTAGTTCGTCATCCCCGGCTCATTTCGTCCGCATTAGGGAGCGGCGGGCGCTATATCCTCGCCATGCAGCGGCTCAGAATCCACGGCCTGCCTCACTTTGTGAACGCCCTCATCATGACGTCTATATTTAGTGCCGGCAATGGTCTTCTATTCTCGGCGACTCGTACCCTGTACGGAATGTCTATCGTAGGCCATGCACCTCGATTATTCTCATGGTTGTAAGTCAACTCCCCCATTAACCGATCAGGCCCTTATCCGATCGACCCACTTACACAACTAAAAAAACAACGACAAGCAAAGTGATGGAGTGTTGCCACAAATGGGCACTTTCTGCGGGGTATTATTCTTACAATCAGTGGAAGCCCGTCCTCTCCATCTTAACTCTCAGTCATCTTCACATGCCAATAACTCCCGGATATCAGGGATTTAATTATGGGAACTGCCTTAAAAGCGAAGACTGTCCTGCATGCAGTCCTGCTGTCATTGCGCTTTTGTCTTCGTGCCCGTAATTCGATCGAATCATCTCTGAACTCCCTTAATGTCCCTTATTCATGCTTGAACCCTTCGCAAACATTTCTAAAAGTTGAACCGTTCTATTATGAAGAGACTTAGTTTACTCCTTCTCCCTCTATCGTCCTTGGGCATTTCGGCTCAGAGAAAGGGGCTGGATTGCGACTTCGAAGCTCGGAACCTCGCAACAATCCAATCCGTCTATGACCTTGCTGTTTTCCCAAGTACACCAAGCTTTTCTTTTCTGTTTCATCTTCATACATTCCATGCTCATTAGACAGGATAAATCACACTTCAACGTTCTACTAACATACTGCTCCAGATAATGTCCCCATCATAACACAAGGCACATCGACCTTCCCGCCAGGGCTCTTCGCCAACGACATCTCCGGCCGCGTCACGCCAGTCGGGGCCTTCGACGACCTCGTTGGCTCGATCGAGTACTTCGTCGGACTGGCCCCCGTCCCCACTGAACAGAATCCTACCATCTTCTCTGAGGCGAAAATCGTGGAGTTCAATTCTGGATGTCCGGAGGTTGCGACGTCGACGGTATACTTGAAGGTCTCAAGCGTTGATATTGCAAACCCTACAGTACCCGTTCATTTTGTTACGTACCTCAAACAGGTGAGTCGGCTGTTAACACTTTCATCCCTCCCATCGATGGGTGAGATTGGGATATGTCTAAAATGGTTTCCAGGTGGCATTCTGGCGCTTCAATGATAAAGGAGAAGTCACTCACTACGACGCCTGGATCCCAAATCTCCAGGCATTCGTCGAAACGAATCTCGGAGCACCGCTGTCCAATCTAGCTGTCCAAGCCGGCTTCAAGCAGGCAATTTGTGGCCTAGCCATGCAGCGATGCGTAGGGCCTAATGCGCAGTGGAACAGGTGGGTTGGCAAAATCCTAATTCGCTACAACAGAGGTATAGAGGCGAAGATGGGATAGAACATTGAAGCTAACAATCAGTGAGCAGTCCGGAGGAATGCCTGGGATTTTTGGAAACAATCCCCTTCGGTACCTTCGATTACGCGACTAGCAACACCGTTGCTTGCCGGCAGATTCATGTCATCTTGACTTTAAGTCGTCCAGACGTAAGTTGTTCAATGTTCCTTGATATTGAAGACTGCGTTTACTTGACTTTGGCCATCTAGATTCACTGTGCACATGTGGGTCCCACGGGTGGCGGCAAGTGCGTTGATACGGATTACAACGCATTTTACTTTGGGGATGAAGCCATCTTTGGATCACGTGCAGACTCGATATTCATGTGCCCACCAAAGCACGGAAAGAAATGCGGACGCGTTTAGCTATCGTTCGATGCTCCTTTCGATACTTTATACCTACCTCTACTGTCAATCTCCTTCTCAATGACCAAGACCAATGTTCGTACATATCATTTGCCCGAGTCTCGCTTTGGACGTCTGTGTCCAACTGGCCATGAGGGATGGGTCACACTTGTGTGGACGTCGATCAAAGATTCTAGGCCGGTCTACTGGCCGCCTCATCAGTTGAGGTTGAGACATAGCCGTTGGTATGATAACAGTACAAAAGAAATAAAATTAAAAAAGTGAGTTGTGTCCACAACCTCGTTAAATCCCGGTTCAACTGACTTTAGATATAAATGCTACTTAAACAAAAGTTTC